TTACAGTTGGGTAATTAATGGAGAATCATTTGTTTTTCTAAAAAATCATGATTGTGCGCGCCTGCCGAGAGTTCGCATCTATCTATCACGGCGACGTGGATACAACAGAAAGGTGGTGCAGCAACCGAGTATGCGTCGGAATTCTTCACTTATAATTGTGCAATTCAGATATTACGAAAGTCTATAATATCCACGTTCGCATACTTCATCTCCCTTGCCTTCTGTCGTTTCTCATTAAAATAAGTAATGGATTAATCGGGCCGACGCCCGCGTCGGACATCAATTCATTAAACGAGCGACGGAATTCGCGTCAGCCAAGCAATACGTGAGGGGTCAAATGTTATATTTTCCCCTGCGATTACTCCTGGTGCAAAAATACTTTACATCCTAAGTGCATTTCTGGTAAATGGGTTAATGCTATGCGCCATGTATAACGTCCTCAACGCGTGGTCTCCGACAGCTATCATGGTCGGGATAAATTATAATGCGTTATAATATGCACACAATTAAACCGAAATTATATTAAAATATGATTACGATGTATACAATGTATAGCTATATTGATAATTATTTATATATATTTGAATCGTAATTATACAATATGTTTTGCTGGAGATGTGTCATAAATCAAAGTAACAAATAATGCAGCACTACCTGGATGGTATTTTGTTATTTATCGCGATGCAATACTGCGACAATGTACGACGTATAATTGTATTACACATTTTCACTTGTGGAACTTTTGTCAACGCATATATATTTTCCAAGGAATAATCCACATAAATCCAAATAAAAGCAACTTTGCGTACACGTAGTTGTTCGTAGTTGGGACGACGACGTGATATGAGACAGGTTTATGAGAAATTTATTCCATAAATTTTACACGCGAACGGTAGACTCGAATCGCGACACTCGAGTCAGAAGTTTGAACGGAACGTTCTCAAGTGCACATTCATGACCATTAACAGGTCATTACGCAAGCGTAATGGAAATCGATAATTAATTGATCCGTGTGAGTGCGACCCTTTCGCCAAGCATACTAATTGACTCTTGAATATTTATGATTAACTAATTTGTAGCGTGTTGCAGTTCGTATAAATTGCGGATTGAAGAGCATTCCGAACGCATCCAAAATTATCTCTTAAGCTCAGTGTTCCCAGAGTAACACCTTATTTAAATTTGGCATCTTAGAGAGAATTTGTAATTTTCATCAGTACCCTTTCCAACATTCTCTAAGGACACTTCATAAACTCGTATATATCCGAATCAATACAGTGCTTAGTGCTTTTTCGATTATTTTACGCTTATTAATTATTTTATTTTGTTTTGTTTAATTACACGAGTTTAAGTACACATTTCTGCTTTCCATGTAAAATACTGATTTTCTTCCTAGTTATAAATCGCTTGATGCGTAACATTTTGACCAACGCTATTAAACATTCCATCGATGGAAATTGGAGATTCGCGTAGTACCTATATATATTTTTAACATTTTATAAAAATCCAAGTTGTGTGGGAAGACGATATTTCGATTATCATATGTCGGGGCGCATATACTCCCAGGTCGATGCGTGCTGCACCCTGACGATAGACCACGAACGGCCGTGCCATTATTAATAACCGATAAACCAATTACAATGTTATCGGACTGCCGTTATCTGCAGGCCGGCTGCGTAAAAGGCGGCCTATGCCAGTTTCCTAACCATAATCTGATATGAAAGTGCCCGGAGGTAGTCTTGCGTGAGCATGCCGATGCTTTTTTGCCACTTTCATCAGCACTGCGAGTATCGTTCTTACGATACTAATTAGCCCGTTGTCCGATCGGAGAGATGCGCCTTATGCCTGAATTCCACGGATACGTCTTACGTCTCTCGCATTCCATAAGCACGCTAGCCTTTTTCCCTTCCTATCCTTCATATCCTTCATCTCAAGACAAACGTTTCTATAATATAAACTATCTTACTCATATAGCAATTACCATTTCTACACGATTACTATCTTTCTCTTCAATTATTATTTACTTTAAAATAAAAATATACAGACACTTATTACGAATCATAAAACATAGGCACAAAGGGCACATGTTAATGTTCGTTTGTAGATATTATTAGAAAATTTAATCCAAACAAACTACCGACGATAAATGAAAATAACAAAGTTGCACGCATTACGCGCGCGCGGATAGTTCACTTACAGTGTTCTCTCACAATCAGTTGGACCATTTATATTATGGCGCATCGTGAAAACGGTATGCAGTCTTGGTCGCGACGTAATTGGACATTCGAATCCGCTCATGCTCAAAGAGGTACGGCTGATTAAGAAGTTTCAAGAATGCGATCGTAGGGGGTCCTCGTTAGGAAGGGTTTCGGAATGCAGGACCTGATCTCGATCCATTTGCATACGGACCGAGTAGGATTTCAAATCTTATTTGACGTGTCGGGAATCTAACGATATAATTTTATAGTTTGCAACTATAAAATTTAACGAAGAATTAATTTAACAAAAAAATCAATGATGAGCATTGATACAATAAGTAATCCATTGAAATTTTAGTATTATGACGTAGAATAACATTAAATTTGCGTTTTTATTAGAATAACTATTGTTTCGGATATTACGCACGTATCAACAATCTCTAAACATTCGAAAGTTGCAAAAGGGCAAAATAGAAGTTAACAATCGATTAATAAAAAGAAAGCAGTAATTTATGTATTGATCCAATTTGGTACGTACAAGTTATTTAAGATTATTCCGGCCTTTATATTGTTCGTCGCTACCAGTTTGCATATTTCTGTAAACCGAATATTCTCGAAGCTAAATTTTATTGACACTCTCAGAAGTTCATGAGAGAATTTCATAACTAGAAATTCTGCAAACTGTACACTGCAATATGAAACTTTATATTGACAAAGCCACTTCTGTAATATTGAATGGATGAAGTTTATTTTCGCAAACACAGAAACACTTTCGAAGTTTCGAGCTTGAATAGCTCGATTATCGAGCACCGGTAATTATATTAGAACCACGCTATTGGTAATTGTGATTAAGTTAGTTATCAGCGATTTAATTCCACATGACAAACATTTAAAAGACGAAAAATATCGTTAAATCAGTCGATGCTATTGCGTTACGGAAAAATATACGCTGCGAGCATCGCTGCATATGCATTTAGCGCGCTGAAAATTGTGTTCCAAAAACGATATCTAGTTATTTCTATATCTTTATTTTTTGCACCTGAGACCAATTATAATAATTGTAATCTTAACTCGCGATCTATAAACCTTCTTACGTTGGATTTGTGATCTGTTTTTAGAAAAGTTAATTCACACGAAAATTGTCTTTACAATATAAATTCTCGACACTAGAACATAATTACACTAAAAATATCAGTCGTCCAAACGATGACTCTCTTTTCTCTACATTTTTGCTGTCACATTTTTATGAGAGAACCAAATTTTAATTATTCTATTGTTTCATCAATATGATAATTGGAAAATTGCTAACTAAATAAAAGATGCAAAATTTAAACACGATGTTTTGCATCGACAAATAAACAAGAGATAGTTGTCATAAACAATCAGAGAACGTTGCTCAGGTTGTTCTCAATATGCAGAATAGCCGTTGTAACGTCGGCTTTAAACGCGATGCGGCGCAAACGCTCGTAATTACCGTCGCGTAAAATCGATATCGATAAAATCGATAAATCACTTCTCACGAGAATATTAGACCCGCCAGCCGATAACAGACGCCTGTATATTGGAGCTCGCCCATTCCGGATAGCGAGTCACCGGCAGTTCCGGGCATCGTTCCAAACCTGAATGACGACCACTCGAGGAACTTACGCAATGACGCGTGCCAACGCACTGCAAAAACACGCTCATTCAAGATTTTCGTCACCACTGCTGTTGACAAAGGCATTGCACTTGCTCCCGATTTATGTTGCCAACACGCGTTTCTATTTTCCACGCTAGCTCTTTCACGCCTTTGATGACTATTATAATCTAAATTTTTCTTATACTTTTAATGCATAAAAACAAAATTATAATCCACACAATTAAGAATTTAATTGACTGTACTGGCAATTATTATAATCGTGGTAACGATATTATAATCGTCGTGACAAATCGTCACCGAGTTTCGACCAAGGATTCTGGTCATTCTAAATTAAATTTATTGCGAAAAATATTATAAATTTAATTATTTAATTAAGATGCTTATATTATAAGCATCTAAAATTACATCAACTTTAGAATGACCAGAATCCATTGGTCGAAACTCGGTGACGATTTGTCACGACGATTATAATCGTTATTACGATTATAATCATTGCCAGTATAGTAAATTAAATTCTCAATTGTGTTAATTATTGACTGGTGAAGTAAATGTTACTTATTCGGTTAAAATTATAACCCATCATTGATTTTTATTGCAATTCACAGTGGCAATAAAATTATTTGTTTCCATTAACTTTGCAGGTTAATAACTGAAAATTATTTACTTGATAGTTATATAAAAAAGTATTGCATTGTAAATTTTATACATGCCAACTGTAATTGTAAAATTTTTAGGTATCCGATATAAATTCCGAATAAATTACACGCTATTCTATTATTTTAATGTTTGATCAAATTATGCATGTTCAATTTACATAAATATGCTACGTAACGCGTAACGGTGTCGGATCATGGACGTAAGGAGTCGCGGAACCACCCAGTAAAAATTGCCTCGAACGAAGCCTGTTACTACAGCATCAAAGTCTAAGTCAAGATCTGTTGTGCTAATAATTTGCGTGTACAACATATAGTACATGTGTTCATTTAAATAGTTTTGTTTATTTAAAAGATTGAATCCTTATTTTGCACTATAACACATATATTAATTTCATTTTTCTATGCGTCTCTTTTGTACACACACGCGGCATATTATATATTCTTATTAATAGTTCTATAAAATAATAAAATATAAGATGCATATCATTAATGTGATGTTTTTCTTTTCAGGTCGCTGGGACTTGTAATATTTATAATATCAGCACACGTGCACGATTCTGCCGCCAAACATGTAAGTTTATTTATATATAAAACAAATAATACTTACGATATATAAAAACAACCACGAGAGATATCTTGAAGCCCGGAATAAAGCCGCACGACAAGGGTCTCAACATATCTTGACGGAATTTCCTCAGGTTTTATTGCCCTCTCTTTGATGATGGTTCGGGTTTCAAGGCCTCCCGGTCTCTCGCGCAGATTATCTTGGTACATTTTGTTCCTAGGAAACCCGAGACAATAGGGAACATTGAAGATTCCGTAAACCATTACGACGTAACCAATCATTACGAATGGCCTTCGGGGTCTAACTGCAACCTCTATTTCTCTTTCTAAGCTCATTTATTAACCTATATTTTATAATTTATTAACTTCTAATCGTGAGTGGCATCTTTGAAATTTTTTAAATATTATTCTGTGATATAAAAACAGTAATGTTTTGTATTTGTAAATATGTAATTTCTTTTTTTCTTGTTTACAAATTATAAATAACACATAACATATTAACCTATATTTTATAATTTATTAACTTCTAATCATGTGAGTAGCATCTTTGAAATTTTTTAAATATTATTCTGTAATATAAAAACAGTAATGTTTTGTATTTGTGAATATGTAACATTTCTTTTTTTTTGTTTACAAATTATAAATAAAACATTTTAATGCAATTAATTGCATTCCTATGAATCTTATTACTATTGAATATTCGGGTAATTTCTACAATCAGTTTTTCTTAGAATTTTAAATGTAACAATTTTTTATTAAAACTGATTAATTTAACATTGTTTTTTCAACAATGTTACGATTTAACATAATTTTGCTTTCTTTATATTCTTTATATCTTTTATGATTAAAGAAATGTCAAACTTTATTATTCATTTATTAATTTATGGTAAATGCCTCTCTCATATTTCGTAATTGTATGCAATATCTGATATTATCTTAATTATCGTCGTCGTTTTGATCATAAAATTTAATCCGCAGGAAATAGTTTCGTAAAATCGAAAAACTCGACAATGTTGAAAGTATAATGGCTAGATCAGATTTTAGATCTGAGATAGAACAAGCTATAACGTCGCGACAACTTCTAAGAAGAGAAATTTTGTTAGAGAACATGATCTTCGGCGAGTAAGAAAATACAGGCACATAGAATGGATGTGGATAAGAGGGACGAACTAAACCGCAGTAATCTTATTGCGTGTACACGGTTATTGTGCTTCTGTAATGGCCATTGTTTTGCCATGTATCCACAATCCGCGTGTGATTTACACACGGGAAATAACTTATGCGAGAAGTACCTCAGGATCTTGTTACACGCAGCGTATTCATTCGTGGCAATTTGCGCGCAACCTTGAACTTTATACTCATTGTCTCGCGTTAAAATAATATAAGTTCAAAGGCATTTAACACTTTCTCTTGCTTAGGAATGCTTTGTCGGGACTGAAACATTTGACAAGATTGTGCTAGCCCTATCTTACTTAATTACACTTTTATAATTTTTATCTTGAAATTAATATGAGCAATTTAACAAAAATGAGCTTAATTTAAATTATGTAGATTTAAAGTCGAATATTGGTAATGGTAGTTTTGAGCACAATATTATTGTAAATATTGCAGAAAGAAAAAAAACATAGAAAAAAAGCAGTATTTTTCTTCATATTAAAATAAATCTACGGATGAACGTTTTGTGTAATATGCAAGTAAAATCAAGTAAATTGATTGAAATATCTATAAATGGATTGTACTATTGGATGGTTGCAATCACAAAAATTATTCTTCACGTATTTATCGTAAATTATTGCAATTTTTAATACATCGGTTTGAAATTAAAAAAGAGAAATTTACAATGACTGCTGGATTTGTGTGTTTTTAAATACATAAAATAAATGCACGCACGCAAATGTTATCGTACATCAAGTATGCTCTCGAGATATTCGTGAGGATCGACAATGAGTGAGATTATTAAACGCGGCACGAAGAGAAAAGGAAAACTCTGTGACTCATAGCGGCTTTTTACCGTCATCAATGCAATCCCGGCGAGACTGCGTGGCTAATCTAAGTTAAGTGATCGTTACAGCCGCAAAAGAATCTTGAAAATGAATCCGCTAATTTTGTCGATGCGACATCGCAATGGTATGCTATAAAATTCACATAATCAAAATAAGTTTATCTATTTTGTCATGTATAATTTCTATCAGTGCATTAATTAATTTTTTGACACATTTATATAATTAGATACATAATTTATATAATTTTATATAATTTATTAGAATATAATTAAAAAGAAGTTGTATAAATGTTAGATAACTATTTTACCAATTATGTCATAACATAATATAATACCAAATTGTATTTTTGCTAGCTTCTTTTTCCTAAGAGAATATTAATTATAATCTTGTGAACATTTAAAAAGAGAGAAAGAGAGAGAGATTCCATTGATATGTGCATCAAATTATGAAAAAACATTTTATAAAAGAAATGTAGCTTCCGTTAATTTCATATTTAAGTAAAAATGTTAATTAATATTGTATTTAAATAAATATTTTATAAAAATGTATTTCATAAAATTTAACTTAACATTTTTTACGAAATAAAATTTGATTTTATTTTATTATATAAATTATATTTTATTATATTATTTTATTATATTTTATTATATAAATGAAAAATAGATCAATATAAACCGATGATACAATGATACTTCTCTCTTATTTTCCTCCTCGCTCTTCGTAATGATTCGTCTTGAGAAAAAAACATATGATAGACAATCTCAATATGAATCTTTAGTTTCTGTTACATTATTGAATTGCTATCAATGATCTCGCAGACAAAATTGCCATTATACCTATTATTATTTGTCTCGGACGTGAGGTCAGACAGCGACAATATATATGACAATTATTAAGAAGGAGGCGTGTTGAGTCCGGCTGTTCATGGTTCATCGGCTGACCTCTCGCATTGGGAGAGAGAGGCCCATTTCTCCGAACCATTTAATTAACTCTTCGCCACGCAATCTCACGGAACATTCTACGATCGTCAAATTTTATGTACGACCGCTGCGTCTCGGTAACAGCAAACTCTGAATCCGACGGTCCACGACCGACATAACATGCCTAAAACAATATTAAATTATTGTAATAATTTATGTTACAAATTAATCTAAAATAAAGCATAGCATATAAATAAATAAAAAATGTATACATAGATTACAATTATTGATTATTTTAAATCAGAATTTAGTGCAATTTAAAAATATAGATTTATAATTAATTATAATATTCGAAAAAACAAACAGATTTATGAAATAATTTTATCTGTTTATTTAATACGTTGTATATTAAGTAATGCAAAATTATTCCTATTTAAATTGCACCTTTTGTCTTTTATTCCTGATGAGAGAATGTCGAAATTTATGGTGATTAATAACCACTTTCTTACTAGAACGAGCTATCGTATTGCAGAGGCGACCGTGATAAAAAGTGTTCATGGTTATCTACTGTTACCGCAGATATTAAACAGTAAGAACTTGAGCACCAAATGAAATTGCATTTATATAGCGTACATATATCTGGAGCACTTACAAAAGATCCTTTATGCTATTCAATTTAATATTTTATTTTAATTTAGTTTTTTAAGTATTTAATCTTAAGTAAGATAAATAATAAATAAAAAAAGTAATGTAGATGATTATAGAGTAACATAATAATGCAAATAAACGTAATAGTTGCATACAATTAGTTTGCTACAACGTCAATGAGATTACGTTAATCTGCTCAAAAGATCAGCTTACCAAGATCACCTGATGCAGAAACCTTCTCTGTGAATCGTTGACCCCTGAGACTATTGGATTACGTTTCAATAGTCTGTTATAAATGTTATGGTTACGTTTATATCTCGTCTTGTGCAGTCACGCAGCATAGTGAGTGATATATTACGATGGCTAATCGACTGCGAGATTGATAATGAGGAAAAATGGGCTTTTCTATTCTATTCCTATTCCTATTCTACAAGATGTTGACTAAATGCAAGAAATGCTATTGAAAAACTTCAAAATGAATTAAGAATTCTAGATCTGCAATATCATCTTTTGTTATAAATTGTAATGGCAATTTTACAATACATAATTATTAACATTGTGCAGCTTAGTATAATGTCACAATTACATTTTCTCTCTATTTAACTGTATTCTTATAAAAAAGTATTAAATAATTTGAATAACTTGAAACGCGTCTGCGTGTTTTATCGCTATTTACATACGTTCTTATACCGTATGAATAAAATATTGTATAATACGCGCAACCTGGCAGCGCAAGGAACACAAGGATAAGTTGCAGATGCTTATGGAAACCGCAAATAAGAAAGCCATCTTCTTGCGTTCGACCATATACTTATATTACGCAAAAATGACGCATACTCGCTGCACCCATCTGCTCACGACGATCTCCCACGCTTAATAAAAAAAATCTCCGTTGCAGCTGTCATAAACGGGAGTATAAATGATGTACATAAACGATACGCATGAAATCTTCTACTTATCGAATGAGATTAAAATAATGCAAGTCTCAACAAAATTCTTCGTCATAACAATGTTATATAATGTGTTCATGGTGTATTTTTCTTTTGTTTTGATACTTTCTCTTTCTGAAATAAAAATAATTTAAAATTTAAAATGTTTACGTTAGATATTTACATATAAATTATAGACTTGAGTTTTTTAAACTATTTTTTGAACTATTGTAAATCTAAATGTAACAACGCTGAAAAGTGGAAATAAACGAACAAAAAAAGAGAAGGGCCCAAAAATGAAAATTATGATATAAAACTTTGATACACTACATTAGTTTTATAATAGAAAATATTAAAAACTATATATTAATTGCAGAAATATTTGATATTAAGATTATTTCATCCCTATTTGATACCGATTTATTAATTCTTTCGTTTTTTCATTAAATTAATTTTAAGAAATTGACTTAGTGAAAAAATGGCATTAATAAATTTCTATCAACATAATTGCGCTGAATCGTAAACATAATCTTCTATTATATACTTAAAAAGCAAAAGAAATTCGCTGTAATTGCCGCAAATCGTTACGGCCGCTATGATTCATTGTGTCATATAACGATTGGTGTAACTACTTAACTGGATAAATTGTACACAGAGTGTAATTGCGAGAGGAACGCAATAAATCTATGTTTCATTAAATCGCGTACAATCTGTGCCCGGTCTTTCGTTCGTTCTTTTGTCGCTAATTATTTGAATACAAAGCACTCGTTAACCACCTGGATGAAGCATAAAATGGTTTTATTGCCGATATTTCAAGTGAAATAATTTTATGGCAAATAATTAACGTAAATAATCGTGTACGTTAGCTTGAAAAAGCAACGCAAACACGTATATCACTTCCGCTAATCAATCAACCATTATTACTCATGAAGGTCAACTTTTCGCCTTTGAATTAAAAAAAACTGAAGAAATTCCTAAATTCGCGAATAAATAGAGAGATTAAATATACATAATCGTCTCTTTATCAAAAAGTTAATCGCAAAAATAGGTATTAAGGCTTACAGTGATAATTAAAAACTATCCCTATCAATAGCGCAAAACATAGAATCATTCGTATATCATTTGCAGCATTATATAATTTTAGCACTTTCTTGAAAGCGATAGATTTGCATACGAATCTACCTATAAAGTTTACGAATGGGCCATTAGAAATCAATATCCAAGCGGCTCAGCAAAACACGCTTGTACTCGAGCAACGTTCGATTAGGAAGCTATATCGCTTATACCGGTGAAAGTATCATTAAATTACGGAGGACCCTAACTATCCGGCAAGGGAATCAGTTATCACGCAAGCGGGATAGCTAGTAATTTCATTGAAAACCGCACATGCGCTTTTCAACCGGCGAATGCAAACTGTTTTGGGCACTCGCCAGAAAAACCTGGCCATTGAAATGTTATATGGCCACTCTTCGTCTTTCCTCTGGAATAAAAGCTCGGGCAAAAGTTCTGACTGTGACTTTATTCTTTATATTGAAAAATTAATTCTAAAGCTTTTCTTTCTAAACACCCGAGAAATTTTTGTTTGCCGTGATATAATTCTTACTGTCTGATATTAATACGTTGCATGCGATTCTTGGAATAAAGTTTCTTCTCGTTTAGCACATATGGCTACGCAGCGAATTTCTGAGATGGATTTTACTTGCATAAGTCACATACGTAATTATATAATAAAATAATTGCTTAAAAAAGTAGTAGGTATATTCAAATAAATTGACTGATGCATGAAATTCTGAGAATTAATATCCGGATGGAATATTAATTATAAATTTTACAGTTAAGAATTTCGATATTAAGAGCGAAAAGATTAAACAATAGATTGCAGTTACACTCTTTTATGAGAAAAAAAAATCAACTGTCTGTAGGTAAATAATGGATTAAAGAATATATTTTTCAAATACGTTTCACGTACGGTACACGTGCGTGAGCTGTTTCCGTTTTGAGGGATTAAAATGCCTCATGCCGCGCAACCACCGCAAGTACCATTGTTATACCCACGAAGCTCAACTGTACGTCGCACGGATGGTTCTTCGGAGGCGGAGGCTGCAAGTGAACAAGGGGGCACTTAACGCGAAATGTTCCCCTCGCACTTACGTTCTCACGGCAGGCCACATCTTTTTCGCGACCCCAGCTGCGACCTCGTGATACCTGTTAGACTCGCCCGGTGCACGATGCGGCGCGGCATGGAACAAGAAGACGCAAGCACAACGTAATAAATATATTTCTCTTGATCTTGTTGCAGCATCATATAAAATTAAGGCACGGAAGGCATCGCCGACAACACGGCGAAAGTTATCTGCCCAGCAGCTTCGTACCGGACACGGATGAGCCCGAGAGAGGCAACTGGGGACCATGGTCGACACCCAGTTCCTGTTCGCGCTCCTGCGGTGGCGGAGTCGCCCATCAGACCAGACAATGTCTCGACATAGAGTGAGTTACTGTCATACCTTACAAGTTTCTTTTACATTTATCGTCTATCTGCTACCATTCACGTTAGAACGCTCGTCCTGGCACATAATTTAAAGAATAATGTCAAATCAGATGTGTTGGAGAACTTGACACGTGCATAAGAAAAACGAACTTAATATATTTCTCGTGGAATTATCGTAAAAAATGGAAACAATAGCGCTGGATCTTTTGTGAAATGTGAGATATTACAAATTGTTAATTTTTTATAACCTTGTGACATTTTCTGGTGAAAAATTTCTCGGCGCGATATTTCATAAAAAATTTCAAGTGAGTATATAAATATTCTTTCGCAAGTCTGATTTTATATATAACAATTAATTGTTGTGTTATTTTCATAGTTGCGTTCGCTCAATTTCGCAACAAAGTTAAAAGTTAAAAGGTTGTTCTTCGTTGAGTTTGTTCGAAAGAAGCCATTTTGCCTCGTTGAGTTCCTCGCTTATCCTTAGAATTCGCTACAATGGTATGCTCAATTGGATTGAGATTGAATTAAAGCGGACACAAACTTGCAAAGAATTTAATCAAGTCTCGATCTGCAATGGATACTCGATGTAATATCGTATATAAGCAGCAAATTGAAGAAACTGTTTTTATCAAAACACTGATAAAAATGTTATAAATTATATAATTTATATAAATTAAATAATACAGATTTTTGTAGGTATAATGTAAATAATATAAGAGAAAATTTCTATTGACCCTTCAACAAACTTTAACTCTCTTTCTAAAACATTATTGATATACACTCTTTGCACTGTATTTAAACAAAATATTGTTTTCGTTGGAAAATTCCAATCAGGAATTTTGTTTAAATAAATCGCGATAAAAATCAAATGTAATATGAGAACGTCAACCAAATTTTTTTTACAGTGCGTCGTATGTCAGCCGCGATTAAATTTAGGATAAATCAACGAAACTTTTCTCCTAGCACACGCCAACAGATCTGCCGTAAATCCTCCTTATCTCGAAACTAAGGGAAGATTAATCGTAGGGCACTTACACGTCTCCCGACGTCACGCTATCTCCGGCAAATTCTCACAATTTCCCATCGCAAAGGCGAAGCGCAATTAAAGTTGGTTTCAACGCGCCGTGATTACGTTAGAGTAGGAAATCGGGCGAGTGACCGATCGATGATCGACATTGTGCCAGTGACCAGCTGGGATGGGCTCGCTAATGATACAGCTACGGATCTTAGAAAGCGCGAGAGATATAATCGTAACGTGAAAGCGCGTAATGCGCGCATAGCATCAACCTCCTCACATTGAATGTATCGTGTCACAGGTCAGCTGAATGTGTCGATTTAATCGCGAAGAAAACGCATCATTTGCACGATGATCGTGGTATGATGTGCTTTCCGTTTCTACAGTTGATACTTTCGATCGATTAGAAATTGACGATTCATCAAATTAAATCATAAATCAATGGAGAAAACGTTATAGTTATATATAATTTGTACCTTTTCTAAGTATTTCGTATTTATATTGAAAATGATTCGATTTGAAAGTAGCGTTTTCGTAAGTTTCTCATGTACCAAGAGGTACCAATAAATTATAAAACTCCGAAAATGTAACACAATGTGTACATAAATCTATTAATAAAACATGACACATAATACTGTACAATGTAGCTACGTAATCTACATAAATCTTGGAATCTCCCTGTAAAAATTTTATCAAGCAAAAAGAGGTATCTACCTTTAGGAGAATAAATTTTTAAATGTTAGACCTTCGTGCGAAATAAGTAAGCAGCACTTACCAGGATACTGCGGAAATTTATTGAAGCAGTAATCTCTCAATTTTGTTCTGAGGAAACTTCACACTCACCTAGAATATTACCAACCGTTATTGATTGTTTTCCATTTTCTTCTATGCAAATTTTATAATTTACTTATTTTTTAACTAAGAGAGGTAGAAATATCTGTCTATATCTTATTTTATTTTTTTTTTAACAAAGATACTTTTTGGCTGAAGAGGTAATTCTCAATATTTAACAAAGAATTTTTCATAATTTATATTAATAAAATTTGATAGAAAATAAAAAATCTAAAGTGCATAATTCAAATATAAATTGATGTAGAATAAATTTACAATCAAAACGAATAAACATATTAATATATTTGAATAATATAACAGGGAGAAAAACTGATTAATTAATTACTACAGAATTAAAGTTTATATTTTTAATAAGACGATTTCTTATAATGATAATATTTATCACTTGATAAATAACTATAAATATGAGGAAATACTGATAAGTAATAAAAGTATAAGCCTGTGATACTATCTCGCTTTAATTTATTCTATAATGTTGCAGTGACAGTGGTCATGACAAGTGTACTGGCGCATCCAGGAGATTCTTCTCGTGCAACATACAAGTGAGTACGGAAAATTAATAATAACGACTTATAATTGTCTTATTCCCGATAAACTCACTCACTGGACATGTGACTGATTGCGTCGTCTTCCGCGATGTGATAATATCGGCCGGAAATTACAAAAAGATTCCGTCGTGGGAATGCTGCGGATTATGCGAATCGAGTACAATTAGGAACTTGATTAATTGCCTTGTAAGAGCAAGTGATTTATGTGATGTGCTTTAATAGATCGAATAGTCTGACAGTTTATCAAAAGATCTTGGGATATTAGACGCATAATGCGCATTCCAGGTACTTTTATCTGTAAACAAACTAAAATCAATGAATTAAACTTTCACTTCTTTCGCGATTCTTACGATTGTCGTTAATCAGATAAAATAATTCAGTCATTTAACTATGAAGACGATCCATCAATATAGAAAATTACGATTAATCTACAATTTATTTGCTCGTTGATCTCGGTGAATGATTGATTGACTCGGTTGTCACGTTTTTTCCAAACGTCCTGCCTGCCTTTAATCTATCAGATATGAGTCAACGAATGACACGCCGATCTTTAATCATATAATTTATATCATTATTTAATTCGGCCCTCTTAACCAGTTGCAACGTCATTAATCTCTAAACTCAAGTCAGACGTACACAATCCATTTAAATTTAAGAAAACGAGTTTGATTCTGAAAAATCGCGAATTTTATATGTCAAAACATTTAACTGAGTAGTATACTTTTATGTTATATTAAGAAAATAATTCAATTTTAATTTAATATTAATTTTTTACTTATTATTAGATTCGGAATGTTTTTGATCAAAAATTGATATTAATAATTGCTATTAAATAAAAAAAAAAGCTCTTTTAATCTCTTATGATAAAATAAAAGTTTCATTTTGGTATATTCACCTTTACCTTTTCCTTACTATTTACGTATCATAATGTATGCCGCACGCTCCTAATTGTATCGAGCAGCTTGTCGACATTTCAACGAGGTGATTCAGCAAATCACCTCATATCGTCGATCCATTCATCATTCTAAAAATATGCCCTCCCAAACAGACGAATTCGTTTTTATGTACGCGTTTTTACGACAACACTCGGATGAGGTTACCGCGCTTTTAACTATCACGATATATACATTCAAACATCCCCTCGAGTAGTTCTCGAGTAGTCTCTCGAGAATTTGCAATTGCTTTAAAAAGTTTTGTACTACTGCTACAAATTTCTCATCTTTTTTAGCTTTGATAATTTTACTTCTACTGGCGGAAATCACGAATTATTAAAATTTTCTCCATTAGATTTGATAAAAAAAAGCAGTATGTTTTATTTTAAAAGTGGTAGTAAAAATGTTTCTTGTTATAAAAAAATAATTACACACATATATACGTGTGCACAATTTTAAAATGTAACATCCAATTTAAGTTCGAACATGGAACGAAAATACGATGTGATATCATAAAACCTGCAAGTGGTAAAAAATTTATGATCACATTTTCATGATATTTTCACTTCTGTAGCTCATAGAAAAATTATGATTAATTAACTGCAATTAGTATCCAACGGCGTTCTGCCTTTTCTCTATAAATTTTTTGCCATCAACTCATCAAACTACTTAATGGCGAGCAGAAAATGAGATAGAAAATTATTTCGATAAAAATTATAAGTGGAGAAGTACAGCATGCTGTACACAATTACGAAACCAAACTAAGAGATTATTACGTAAATCTTCTGCAACTGACACGACAAGAACCCATCACTTCGTATTTTGAGTTGACAGATTGTTATTGAAGGGTTTAATGGGATGCAAACGTAATTTGGATCCCGTATTACATTTAAAATGTTTTGAAATTTATTGCATATATAATAGTATTAGATAATTGATATATAATATTAAAAATTTTGTAATTATTAAAGTTTTTTCTTTAAAATATATTGTCTCTTTAAAAAGTGTGTTTGCGCGATAAACTGCAGAAGATTCATAAACGGAAGTCTATTATGCGGCATTGACTCACGAAGTATTAACCTTGTTAGAGCTAGACGCTAATTAGAACAAATAGCAAGGTACATCGCTATACATGCTCTATATAACAAATGCCAACGTCTATTTCCTGGAATGACAATATACATTTTATTTGCTATAAAAGATTACAATTACGTTCGTTATAGATCATACTTTATACTTATAATTATATATAAAATTATACATAAAATGACATATAAAAAGATAAGTAGGCATACAGTGATGATTCTAATCTTTGCATATTTATAATTTATTTCTTATATATATGTTTTCCTTGTTTATTTGCAGTTTTTCGCCTTATTTATCTTCAGAATAAATAATTTTCCTTAAAAGGAATTATATATTATATAGTCAACATAATCGTGATGTATGATGCGTCAGTTTCCTGAAGTAGTAAGAAGTTAAAAGATAACTTATCAGTTTAATAAGTATTAAATAATTCATATAAATCGAGAATATTATTAGAGATTACATTCAAAAACCTTGTATAAATGAAAGATATCTTTTGAAGATCTCATAAATAATATACCAGGATTAACTGTCTTATTATCTCTCCGCGTTATGATAAAATATACATAGAAAGACAATGTTACGCATGTATTGCTGTAATGTATTTCCTACCTTTCGGTTCTTCCAAAAAAAAAAAAAAAGATTTTTGCTTCCTGTGGCGAATAAAAAGTACGATTAAAGGTACGATTCTGAGAAGGATCGGGGACTGCGATACGATGTCATCTATACATACCTGAGATGCTATTACTTCTAAAAGTAATATTGTAGATTTAAATAATTCTGACATTCAAGGAAAACTGTTCGATATCAATCAGTTGGCTATATAACACTCGAAATAGTTCCTCATAAATTTCAAAGTTTGCTACAATTGGTATAATATTCGTTATTCGCGACATCGTTTTCGAATGCCTCGATTATCGATTAAAACTTTTTTCAGACTGTTATTTCTCTCTTTCTCTTTCTCTCTCCTTCTTTTTCTCTTTTCCACCCTTACTATTTCAGTCTACCCTGTTGCCTTGCCACCCTTTTACTGGTGTTTCATTCCATTCGCAAGAAATCTCCCATAAATTCTGTGCTGTATCCCCGTGCGTGGTACCGGTCCCGCCGGAGTATCTTTTCTTCGTTTTTGCTAGGGTTCCACTCGATTTATCGACATTACCTGCCCCACAGATCTGCCCTTCGTCCATTTCTGGGTCATTTCATTTTTGCGGACCGTTCATGAAATAGCACGACAACACGCGCTCATTTATTTCACAGTATTAAATACGGATAAAATTTCTAAGTCTATAAATATTATTACTCAAGTTGTCAAAAGCAATATCAATTTAGATATGATATAAATATTATTCAAGAATAATTCGTAAACAGGTTTTAATCATCAAAATCGGTAAAGGCACTATAAAAGGGTGAAGATATAAGACTGCATGTTAAATAACTTGCTAAAGTTTTTACATTTTTACTGCAACAAGTAATGTTAAGAAAATGACATATCTCATGGAGATAAGATGTTCGAAAAGTCAAATTGACCTAACAAAAAAAACCGCTAGTCACAAAATAGGAACGCTACACTGATCCTTTAACAGAGACCCTTCTGCCCCATCGAGCGGCATTTTTCTTCGATCCCTTCACGATGATGAAACGTTTTTCTCAATGATGCTCAAGCATGTGTAGATTTCTTCATATGGAAACTCGACATCCATCGCAGATATGTATTTCGAATTTAAGGTTGACAAAATAAAAACGATAAAGCACAGTGAAATACGATAGAAATGAATTTGCGCGACTTACTTTTCCAGCGATTTTAAGTTTCAACCGTAATTTTGCATCGTTTTGCTTTTTTTGCAAAGATGTTACTTTTACTTAATTCGTTTTTTTAATTGCTGCACTGACTTTTATATTCATTAATAATAACAAAGGCGCAACAGGAATTTCTCAATATCAGCGCAAAATATTATGAGATTTTGATAGAAAATATAAAAAGAAAATTTCACTTACTTCTTTAAATTACTGTTTCTTATCAGAAAGAAAGCTATGAATTCTTTATAGAACAATTTGTATTTTTGCGGTAATTAAAATCGCTACAAACAGTCTTTATGTTTGTTGTCTATTCGATATTACGGACTAGTAAATAATTTAAGTTAAAGTATAATCTATGCGCTAATAATTTTATTCCACTAAATTAAAAAATTGTTAATTACTCTTTTGCAGGAATGTCCTGGTGAATCGAAGGATTTTCGTGCGGAACAGTGCGCGGAGTTCAACAACGTACCCTTCGAAGGAGTTTATTACGAGTGGGTATTTCTTCTTTTTTTCTTCTTGTCTCTTTCTCTCTTTCTCTCCCTCCCCCTTTCTTGTGACTGCATTATGATGATTATCAATGTCCACTCGATTGGGAATTCTGTCGAATTCATGAAACGAGATTATTGTGGCGTAGTGACGGTGATTTATGTTCGGTACTCCGACCTGGGACGATGATAGAATTCTCCGCGGCCTTTGACATCACTTAATAATCCGCCTATTTGTCCTGCAATCCACGGCCGCTTATTCCGTTATTTAATGAAAGACATAATATTTATGGATACCCTTTTTTCTTCATGCATCGTGAATTAAGTAATCGAAAGGGATTCGAACTTGGATTCAAAAGTTTCTTTCAAAACTATGATCACATAAATACTGTTATTTATTAATATAGAATAAAATCATGATCCGAATCTCTTATTTGCTATGGTGGATGTTTCACTACGACGCAAAATACATCGTTTAAATTAAATAATATAAGGTAATAGATATTAGTAATTGATTGACAAAATGGACACAATAATAATTGATTTTTAATTACACATTATTATTTATTTTCCGCAGTTGGATTCCGTACACCGGAAGTCCGAATAAATGCGAACTGAATTGCATGCCACGAGGCGAGCGATTTTTCTACAGGCATAAAGTCGCCGTGGTCGACGGCACTCCTTGTGAATCTGAAAAGAACGATGTTTGCGTCAAAGGCAAATGCATGGTAAATTATGTTTAATTATTAATTATCGCAAATTTATAATTGCGTAAGAAACAATTAGATAATTTTATTTAAAATATATTTTCGATCGTATACTCTTACCAAATAATATAGGCTTATGTTAAATAATGACTTATGGTTAAATAAAATAAAAAAAACTCCATATATTTCGATGGAATTGATTTATAAAATTGTCCGATAGCACGTCGGATGCGATATGATGTTGGGCAGCGATGCCAGAGAAGATGCGTGCAGAGAGTGCGGTGGCGATGGCTCAGATTGCAATACCGTTACCGGCTTATTTGATACAGACGACCTCCAAGTGGGTGAGTAATTTTCGTTAATTAATCTTTGCAATAAAAATTTAGTAACATTCCCACAACTTTCCAGCAAGCGATTGAAATTATTTCTGTGTAATCGATATTGTATATTTTAATTAATTTTCTATTACTTTATAAAGTCTTTTGCAATTCTATTATTTATTTTATTTTCTTACACTAATAATAGAAATATTATTTTTCCAGGTTATATTGATATTTTACTTATTCCCGAGGGCGCGACAAATATCGTTATAAAAGAAAATTATCCATCTAACAATTATTTAGGTGAGTAAAAACTCATATAAATATAAAAAAGTAAAATATAGCGTGATGTATAAATATTTAACTAATATAAATCAATAATTTAATATTAATATTAATAATTTTATCAATAAATATAATATTAATAAGTTGGTTGGACAGAGTTGGTCAATCTAAATATTTTTGGAAATTGTTAATTAGCTATACGCAACACAACCGGACATTACTATTTAAACGGCAATTGGAGAATAGATTTTCCGCGCAGCTTGCGCTTCTCCGGTACGATCTTTCATTACGCTAGAGATCCACAAGGATTTGCGGCACCTGATACCATCACGGCTCTGGGACCAACGAATGAGCCGATTTACGTAGTGGTCGGTATACCATCGGTGTCGGTTTTCTTTTGGTACTGAAATATTCAGAGTCGAGAGTGTATTAACGAGGAACCGTTTTCCTTTCGCAGTTGCTGTACCAGGACCGCAACGTAGGAGTGCATTATGAGTACAGCATACCCAAGAAGTTCTCGACGCGTACCGATCCGGACAGTTACACTTGGGTAACCGATGAATTCTCAAGTTGCAGCGTCAGTTGCGGTGGAGGTAAGTATTAAAAGATTATTTTTTTAATATACGCGCAATTAAAACTGCAGGTTCTCAAGTTCCATCTTTTCTCGTCATAGGAAACAATGCTTTCGCCCGTTATGCGCAAATATTTAAAAGATGTGTTTGTGTTGATAATACTAAGAAATAATTTCAATTATTTTAGTAAACTACTTTTATTTTAATTCGAATATTGACGAAATATTAATAAATCCCTCAAAATAATGTAATTACTTGGCTATCATGAAACTAAATGGCAGCAAAGTAATAAATATTACTGATCAATTTTAATTATAGTTTGAACATTGAAATTAATAATTAACTATTAATCTAACTTGTTATTCTAACCAGTTATTCTAACCTGTTAATTTAAAGTAACAGTTTTATACGAACAAAGACAAGTCCGTTTCACGCTTCGTTTACCTTTTAAGGCTATCAATCGAGACGAGTAGCTTGTGTACGAAGGCGCGACAATCAGCCGGTGGATGAGAGCTTATGCGATCCGCAGTTGGAACCGGCTGACACTCAGAGCTGTAGCGAAGAACCGTGTCCGCCTGGCTGGGTAGAAGGCCCGTGGTCAAATTGCACGAAACATTGCGGCGAAGGGGGCGAGCAGACCAGAGAGATCAAATGCGAGCAAATCATCTCGGGTGGAATTGCTTCCGTGGTGGATGATTCTCAATGTCTGGAAAAAATCGGGCCGAAAGGACTCACTAACCAGGAATGCAACAAAGACGTGGATTGCCCACTGTGGCACGAAGGGCCCTGGAAGCCTGTAAGTTGTATTATCACGTATAGCGATATTAAATTATACAATTATGTGATTATATGATGAAAAAAAAATTAATTTTCTCTCAGTGCGATCATATATGCGGGCCTGGTAAGCAAACCAGGGCAGTCACGTGCTACAAGAAGGTGGACGGCAAGATCCAAGTGTTGGAAGATGAGGCATGCGAAACGGAGGTGCCCGAACGTGAAAAAGATTGCGAACTGAGACCTTGCGCTGGTCTCGATTGGGTTGCCTCTGAATGGAGCGGAGTGAGTCCTTTGAACACGAGAATAACTTTTTATTAAATAAGAAATGACCGAAATTGCTTCTATATGCTTCTCAAAGTTTTAAACAAACAAATGTAATTTGAAAATCTTTTCTTATAATAGTGCGAGGAAAAATGTGATCTCGTCAAAGAAACCAGAACGGCCCATTGCGCTACTCAAGATGGCACAGTTTATCCAGATGACTTGTGTGATGCAGACAAAAAGCCGGAATTGGAAAGAGATTGTGAGAAAGCCAAGAATTGCGATTTCCAGTGGTTTACCTCGCAATGGAGTGAGGTAAATAAATAAATAAACATTCTTTTGCATCTCTTCCATTATTTACTCCAAAGTAAAAATGTACTTCAATATACAAATAAATTGGCTAACATTGGTCGTATCCTCTAAATTAAATATTGCTTTCTAACGTAGCTTTTAATTAAATGTATAACAATAAAATTTATTCTATTTGTGTTTTTTATCTTTATTAACATTTTCATAGTGTTCGGCAAAATGCGGAAACGGCGTTCAGACGCGCAAAGTGTTCTGTGGTACTTTTAGTGACGATACTGTGAAAAAAGTTTCGGACGAGAAATGCGATCCTGAAAAGAAATTTGAAAGTACCCAGAACTGCACCGCTGAAGAACCGTGCAAGGGCGAATGGTTCGCAGGGCCTTGGAGCAAGGTTTGTCCTTAATTTATTTCCGGGCATATGTAACATTTTAATTTTTAAATATGGTCAATTGATATCGATTTGTTAAAGTTACTGCTAAGGTTTTGTAAAATTGATATAAATCAGATTTGTTAAAGTTACTGCTAAGGTTTTGTAAAATTGATATAAATCAGATTTGTTAAATTTCTTGAAATGTAATCATAATCAACAACGTTATCAATCACGTTGTAATATGTTGCAGTGTTCGAAGCCATGTGGCGGTGGCGACATGACTCGTAAAGTGATATGCATGAGTGAAAATAAGACGGTACCTGTGAGTCAATGTAATGCCGATGACATTATGTTCTCTACCGAAAAATGCAATGATGAACCTTGTGAAGAAGGTAAAGGTTTAACAAGCTTAGTCTTTTTCTATATTTTTAAATAAAATAGTTTAATGTTTTACAATTTACATACAGGTATAAAATAAATAATTTTTGCAACAAAAAGAAAGTATCACTTTTTAAAATAACAATAGTTTAAAAAAGACTTAAATTAACAGTAACTTTAAAAACTGTTGTTTAATAAATCTATTATTTAAATCTTAAAAATTTATTTATTTTGCATTATTTATATGCCATTATATCATTATCGATGAAAAAAGAAAAATATATTAATGCAAATTAATACATTATCCATTAAACTATCTTATTTGGAAAAAAGAAATTTATTCTGTAAATTCTGTTTACCTCGAAAATGCCTTGGATATTGTCATTTTCATTACGAGAGATAATAAAGATGTATGTATTAACATTTGCTTCATCATAACGCAGAGTACGTGATTTATTGTGACGTAAACCTTTTCATTATAGGCCACGAGCATAATATATTGAATATGCCTTGAACAGCAGGCGTGAAAATAATGAGGTTCGTGGTATTAAATTTAAATGTCCTAGCACTTATATCACATTTTAAAGGGCAACACGAACCACCTACCGTGAATAACATATCTCTCATTCTCTGTAGCGAGGAAAATTAAATTTCCGATGTGCTTTCGAAGCTAGTCAACGATAAATAGAGTGCACGCATAGAATTCGTCAACGTTATATTATTTTCATGTGCATACTTTTAAAAGACTTTTATATTAGAAATTTAAATTACGACTTATGTAAAATTGTTATTTTGCTGAACGCAGGTGCGACACCGAGCGACAAGGAGCCGGATGAGGAAACGACAGAGGAGGAGGAGGAAGAGTGCGAGGAGGAAGAGGAGGAAGAAGAAGAAATAGCTGCCGGTGAAGTCAGTCTTCCTGCGGGGGTAAGTGAAACTGGGTCGTTTCTCGCACTTAATTAAATATTAGGTGCGACTGAGTTACTTGGTAACTTCGTTTCTTATTGTTCCACCGTTTCAAAGAGTCATCTCGGATTCGCGAATCAAATCAACCTTTCCTTACGCGCGAAACAGTCTGATAACGCGATTCTCTGTCGATTTTGCGTCTCGTCGAGGATTAGATAGTTGCATTTAAGTGTCTTTTCTCGGTCTTCTTTTTTTCAGAAGGGCAAACTAATCGACCAAACAGAAGCAACATCTCTGAGTTCGCTGTTTACCGAAAGCGACGTTTACGACACTATGTTTAGCGATTCTACGAGAGGCGATATATCACCTTCCGAATTGGGTAGCGGCGAAGGTAGCGGCGACGATGATTTTACCATGTTTGACACTGGCTTCTTCACCGGCAGCACTATCGATACCGAGTCTACCGATGTCGAAGAGAGCGAAAGTCCGGTTAGCGGAATCACGACGGAAGGCAAAACCGGCACGACCGAGTTTGGCACAGAGGTAACCGAATCGGACATCACCGAAGGAACTGACGTAACGCTCGAAGGATCCGGGACTACTATCGAAGAAGGATCCAGTATCAGCCCCGAAGAAGGATCCGGCGCGAGCGCATCTACGGACGAATTCACTCAAACATCGGGATCCGATAGTGGTACGTTTCTGTCAAATACACTTATTACAGTTTTCAAGAAAGCTATTATTCCAGATAATGTTGAAATCATTTACATTGTTGATAAAATCAGTATTGCTTTATGTAGTTATTAATTCCTTTGATGTGTGATGTAGGAATAACGGAACAATCGACAGATTATTCCGTTTCCAGCGAATTGACTAGCAGTGTAGATTCTGAATCAACTGCCAGTGATATAACGACTGATTCAAGCGACGTAACAAGCGAATCGGCTGACACCGATGTCACTTCAGCGGAAACCACGATTTCTTCGACGAGTGAATCGGAAGAATCCACCGAAACAGAAACGACAAATACCGAAACAACAAATACCGAAACGACCGATTCGACAGAGACTGAAACAACACAAACTACCGAATCCACAGACACAACCGAGTCTACGGAATCTCCACCAAGTACATTATCTTCAGAGACGGAGACCACAGGTACAGAGGAAACAGAAACGACTGAAAGCGAGATCACCTCCGGTACGCATTAAATCGTAAAATAGTTTACAATATTGATTTAATATCACATAGAGATATAATTAAAATATTGTAATTTTGCATTTTATTATTTAAATTTAAATCATAGATATATGGAAATATTTTAAATGTATTTTACGAGATTTTCAATATCTTTATAACGTAAAAATGCATGAGCGCTTATATTTCTTGGTTAACATAAGCATACAATTAAATAATTTATTTATCAACGTCAAAGGTGGTTTACAAATTACAAAGTAATAATATTATTTCGCAGAAACGACGTCTGAGACATCAACAGTAGTTTCTGAGCTAACAACCGAATTAAACGTACCTGGCGAGTACGATTTCGGTTCTGAGGAACAAAGTACTGACACTATAACTACGGCAACGAGTCAAACAGACGAGAGTAGTACAATAGTTAGCAGTACGGAAGACACTACTGTTTCTGAAACGAGTCCATCGGGTGAGACTGAAACTACCGGTAGCGAGGTAACCGAATCGGGACAAACTACAGAATCAGGAGAGACAACTGAGTCCGGTATTAGCACAGAATCAGCTGAGACAACAGAATCCGGATTGACGACCGAATCAAGCGAATCTGGCGCGACAGAATCCAGCGAGAGTACCGTCACGATTTCTACGGAGACGGAAGTTACGGAGACTACCGAGTCAGGTATGACAACCGAATCGGGTGAGACAACTTTGTCAGGCGAAACGAGTGAATCGTCGGTTACGACATCGTCTCTCGAAGAGACAACAGTATCCGGTGAGACGGAAATTACGTCCTCCACGATCAGTGGAGAAACCGATCTTACCGAAAAGACTCATAGTAAGTAATCTCGAATGAGAAAATATGTAGATATTTTTCTATGATATATATTAATGTCAATTTATAACTTTAGTCACAGAGATATGGACAACTAGCTTCCCAGAAACAACAACCAAACGGCAATGCAAACCAAGGAAGAGCTGCAAGAAAACGCCCTTCGGATGTTGCTACGACAATATCACCGTTGCACAGGGACCATTTGGTCAAGGTTGCCCGACACCGCAAACATGCAACGAGACACGATACGGTTGCTGTCCCGATGGCGTGTCACCAGCCACTGGCCCCAAGAACAAGGGTTGTCCCGACTCTCATTGTAACGAATCACTCTTCGGTTGCTGTCCTGACGGTGTTACTACAGCGCAAGGCAACGATTACGAAGGATGCAAGAAACCGTGTAAAGAAACCGAGTTAGTTGCGATTTTTATAAAGTAATCTCCTCACATGTATGATCTCAGTCTTATAAATTAACCGCTTGTGCATTTAACCGCGTTAGATTTGGATGTTGTCCTGACAACGAGACTGCAGCGAGTGGACAGAATTATCTGGGATGTTGTAATATCACCAAGTTTGGTTGCTGCCCAGGTGATATGAAAGCCGCTTCTGGTCCTAATGGCGAAGGTATGTATTTCGTCTTTGTATCGTGTAAATTATACATCTGTATAATAATATACAATAAATCTGTGTGATATTCTTTTACTTATTGTTAGATTAGACTGGTCATGTTATATTATATGTTTTTATTGAGTATTGTACGTATTTTTAAACGTTTTAAATAATGGCACATGTTGTATTAAGGTTGCGAGGAAGAAGTTACTGAAACATCGGAGATATATGAAATAACAACTATTTCACAAGATTGCGCAAACACCACTTACGGTTGCTGTCCTGACGGTATTAGCATTGCAAATGGTGCCAACTTTGAGGGGTGCGGCGTCATTAATACCGAAAATTGCAGCGCGTCCTACTTTGGATGTTGCCCTGACGGAGTTTCCGCGGGTTGGTTGCATAATAATGAATAAGTTACCAGAAATTTTATAAGACTAGCTTTGGAAGCAGTTAATTATTCACAGAACTCGCTGAATCGAAAAAAATACTAACATCGCCGACTATTAATATTTTGAAATATATCATTAAATACATATAAAATAATATTTTATAATAACAGTGCGTTATAAAAGACAAGTCGCTTTTTACACCAATTTTATACCATTTACTTGTCATTGATGGATTCGTGCCATTAATCGATTGAATGGATAATTGGAAAATATCGGAACAAGCTGACGAGCCATTCTAAACTATTCCTATATGCTTCCATCGTTCGTGATTGTTTCCATAGCTCTTGGACCGGACAACTATGGCTGTCGCATGCCATGCCATGACAGTGCTTACGGATGCTGTGAGGATGGAGTAACACCGGCACATGGACCGAACAATGAGGGATGCTGCTTATCGACCCCGTACAAGTGCTGTCCGGATAACATTCTGCCAGCTCGTGGACCAAACTTCTACGGCTGTGGCTGCCAATATACGAGATTCGGTTGTTGCCCGGATAATTCGACGGCGGCGCGCGGACCAAACAATGAGGGCTGTGGCTGTCAGTACACACCCCACGGTTGTTGCCCGAATCGGTTTACCCCTGCCAACGGACCTAATTTCGAGGGTTGCCCGTGTTACACTTACCAGTTTGGATGCTGTCCCGATGGCATTACTATCGCCAAGGGCTCCCATGGTCAAGGTAACTATATACGATTGTAGTAAAATAATATAAAATTGACTTGTTGAGTGTAACTCGAGCTTAAGTCAAGAAGAATAGAAAATTATTACATGCTTTGTATAATGCGTTGTATAACATTTACAGGTTGCGGATGCGAGAACACGCAATATAAATGCTGTTCGGATGGCAGAACGCCAGCTAAAGGACCAAACTTTGCGGGATGCACCTGTGACGCATCGCAGTACGGATGCTGTCCCGACGGAATCGAGGAAGCTCAAGGGGAGAACTTCGAAGGTTGTCTCACAGTACCTTCAATGCCTGGTGCTGCATGTGGTTTGAAGAAGGATAGAGGCTCTTGTCGAGACTTTACAGTCAAGTGGTTTTATGATACCGATTACGGTGGTTGCTCGAGATTCTGGTACGGAGGCTGCGAGGGTAACGAAAATCGATTCAAAACACAGGAGGAGTGCAAAGAAGTTTGCGTTCAACCGAAAGGAAAAGGTAGTTATATTCAAACATGATATTTTGCAGAATAATTGTTACATATTGCATTTTCCTGCTATACTTATAAGATTAGAATTAAAAATGTATTTCTTATTTATAGAATTTTAAAATCAACTTCTTATATATATAAACAAACCAATTATATTTATTTAACATATCAAAATTCAAAATTTAAACAACGAATCTTCGGTTTATTTTGCAGCTGCTTGCTTCTTACCAAAAATCGCTGGTCCTTGCGAAGGATATCATCCAACGTGGTATTATGATGCCAACAGGAAACAATGCGGTCAGTTCGTCTATGGTGGTTGCCTCGGCAATGCTAACAAGTTCAAAACAAGGGAAGAGTGCGAAGAACTTTGCGTCACACCGGACGATATCGGTAAGCAAGGTTATCAATTATGGTGTATAAAAATATTATATTCTCAATTAAATTATTTTGCTCTTGTTAAATATGTATTTTTAATGTATTTAATAAAAACCTTTACTTATATTATATTAAATTTAATCTAATAGATAAAATATATTACACCTGAGAGAATTTACGAGTCAGTTAAACAACTAATACTTTATAAGTTGTAAGTTTATATTATTTAAATTTTACAGATCCTTGCGATCAACCGAAAGAAGCAGGTCCTTGCGCAGGCAATTTCACAAAATGGTACTTCAACCGAGAATCGCAAACTTGCGAACAATTCGTATACGGTGGTTGCAGAGCGAACGACAACAACTTCCCGACAGAAATCGCTTGCCATCAACAATGCTTACAGCCAGGTCGAAGGAAAGGTATGTTTCCTTTTTCATTATTGTTATTGCTTTTTGTATGTGCATTAAAATTTCGTGTATCTTAAGTAAATTATTAATTTATTTATATGACACTTATTTTAAAATATGATTAAAAATTTTATCGGTATTTATTACTTGATAAATCTTTTCTAACGACGAGATATTATGCAACTACTATTTTTAAAAAATTGATTCCATGGTTGGGATTTGATTTAGTAACAGTAGTTTAATTATATGGAATGCTTGATATTGTATGTTTAATAATTTTAGCAATGGCAAACTTTAATAAATTTTATCTGACAGATGTGATCAAACGCGTAAATCTAATTAATAATATATAACGCATTTCCCTTTAATATATGTGAGATATAAAAATTTATCAAAAGAATAGTTACTTTATACTTTAAAGAATTGTTACTTTATACTTTAATATAAAAATGATCTGTGAGATAAAATCTAAATAAGATTTAATATCTAGAAACTTAATAATATTTATAGTTTTTACTAAAAATATATTATGATAAAAGAACCCTATGAGATTACTCGGCACATAAATGGAGCATAAATCTATCAAGAATGAGTAATATTCTTGTAAGTGTGTTGGGCTTATTCAAAACTGCCACGGATAGGTATTACTAAACGTTCCTCTAGTCGTTCCTCAACGACTCGATCGCACAGTGATGGACGAACTTTTGCAGTAAATCTGTCTGACGTATGCGCCATGAAGAGAGATCCCGGACCTTGTCCGGGCTCGGCATTGCGCTGGTATTACGATGCCGAGCGTGGCACTTGTAGCCAATTTGTTTACGGCGGTTGTAAAGGCAATGCCAATAGATTCCGTACTCTTGCTGCCTGCCAGCAGCGCTGTCCTTCACAAGGTATAGACAGCAACGAAGAAAGAAAGAGCTTAATCGCTTCGTGGTAACATCACGCGCAATTTGACAAGAAACCTCAATGCTCTTGCTCGATTTTAAGAAAGCGTCAATGTTGTTGTTGTTTTTTTTTCGAACCGTATTTAGTTCATAGGTGATGGTAACCGAAAATAGAATGCAACATTGAGTCGTTATTACATGTCGACAGCAATATGAGACTGGAATAACGCAATCACATGATCGCGCGTTAGCTTTCACATAATTTTAGTTTTATGTGCACGCTTTCACTTGCATAATCTCGTCCAACACAATTTAAAAAGACATGAATCCTTCTTGGATTTCTTCATGTAAAGTATACCATATTATATTTAATGCTAAAATTACATTTTTGATAATTGCAGGATTAAACATGATAAATAATGCCTAATTATGGTTAATTCAGAATTGAATAGTGATATTATGTTATAAATTATTTATAAAGTGTACTTTAATAATTTTAATTATATAATAATTTTTTTAATATTTTGTGTGTGCATGCGTGCGTGCGTGTGTGTGTGTGCGCACGTATGTGTATGTGTGCAACCCTATAACATTAATATGATGGTGATAGAGTAAAAACTAGCAAATATAGGTTTTTATAAATTATTTACTTAAATTAAATATGAGTCTTAAACAGCAGCTGAGTAGTTTGACTAACAGTAGGAATAAGAATTTTCTTAAATTAACGACAGGTATAGTGAAGTAGTTGGAATTGGATTGAATGTTTCTAATTGCATGGTATAATAATTAATGCGATTAACAGATATTTGCACGTTGCCACGGGCGGAGGGTACATGCATGGAGAAGCAATCTAGATGGTACTTTGATCAATCAGAGAATCGCTGCATGCCATTCTATTACACTGGTTGTAATGGCAATAAAAATAACTTTGAATCTAGAGACGCATGTGAGTCTGATTGTCCGCCTAAAATTGGTAAGATTTCATTTCCCTCACGTTCTTTTTCTAACATCTTTTTTGTGTTAAATGTTATTATTATACTTTCAAAAGCGCACATTTTTGGCGTTTTTAATAGCATTAACAGTATAAATCGTCTTTTTTCAAACTTTTTACAACAAACAAAAAATTCAATTTAATTATAATTGAAACAGATTTACATTTAATTGCACATAATGTGTGATATTATATCATATGTAACAACACATTACAATTCTTTTCGTCAATATATAAAGAAATTATATAGAAAAAAGTACAAATACTTGCCTTGATTTCTTTTTCCCTCTATCTTTGTCTCAAATTTTATAATATAAAAGTTTATGTCAAGACTTTTGAAATTAATTATTATTACTATATTAACATATCATATTTTAACGTTAATAAGAATTAATTAATAAGACACTAAGAATTCTTAACCTTTCTTTGATTTTTAAAACTTTTTACTAACCAATAACATAGCACAAGTATAATTGCTAAACTTACGAATACAGAACAAGATATCTGCCTCCTGCCCGCTCTCCTGGGAGAGTGCCACAACTACACTCAACGATGGTACTACGATTCCTATGAGCAACACTGTCGGCAGTTCTATTACGGTGGATGCGGCGGGAATGACAATAATTTCGTGACCGAACAGGACTGCGTCAACAGGTGTGAAGTGGCCGTTACCACACCGCCTCCACCGGGACAAGTCGAGTTCCGGACAGGTAATGTTTCTAATGGACTTCGGAAATTGTTCATAAGTAATAACGCCGCGGTACCATTATTCATCTATTATCAAATAGAATTCTGCTTCCTGCCCGACGAACATGGTCCTTGCTCCGAGAATCAAGTCAAATGGTTCTACGACAGTCGTGATGGGGTTTGCAAACAATTCCGATACGGCGGCTGTCAGAGTAATGGCAACAATTTCAACACTCGCGAGGAGTGCGAGTATCGCTGCGGAGAAGTTCAAGGTACGTTAGCTGTAAATATAAAAAGCTGAAAAATAAAAGAATATGTATGAAAGAATAAAAATACCAAAATTTATACTTGTCATCAAAAAACTCTAATAATTATCTCTAATGAAGAAACTTGAAACACATAAAACAAAATTTATTTAATTATAGAAAAGTTATTTAATATTTTTCTTTGATTCATGTAGTACAAGGAACCCAGAAAGTGTTGCAAATATTCCAAAAAAAAATTGTATAATAATTTCAGATCCTTGCATCCTGCCACAAGTGATCGGTCCTTGTAACGGTTTTGTAAAGCAATTCTACTACGACAGACGCAGTGATGCTTGCTACGAGTTCGAATACAGCGGCTGCCAAGGCAATAAGAATCGCTTCCAGGATAGAGAATCTTGCGAGAGGAAGTGTAGGCGGCAAACACCACCGGAGGTTACTCAAGCACCAGCCACGATAACTCCGCCGACTGGAGAACCGAAGAGTACGATTTGCTTGGCGCCGGTCGATTCTGGCGATTGTGAAGAAAGTCTTACCGCGTATTACTACGATGCCCAACATCAGATGTGTCAGGCGTTTATTTATGGCGGATGTGGTGGAAATGCCAACAGATTTCAGACCGAAGAACAATGCGAGCGGCTCTGCGGAAAATTCCATAGACAAGGTAAATTGTAACGAACTCTATTTACGTTGCCATTTTGTCTGTAATAAAATCTGTTCATTAAGTACAAAGTACTAAATATATAATTTATTCAATATACATATGTATAATCATATTACGAGAAAGATCCAATATCTCGAAGATTAAATTTAAAAATGTTTGCATAGTAATTGTCCCTATTCTTTATTTTTTTACTAAGCATTTTTATAAAACAATTATTTAAAAAGATTAATATGATTAAAATTGAATTAATGGTCTCTTTTCAGATATGTGTAATCTCGCTGTGGACTCCGGCCCATGCAGAGGCGCTTTCCGCAAATACTATTATGAACCAAATTTACGTGCCTGCCATGAATTCATGTATGGTGGATGCGATGGCAACGCTAACAGGTTCAGTACAATTTCTGAGTGCGAATCCATTTGCATACATCACGAGGAACCTCTACCTCCCGGAAACGACACCAGTGTTTCAAACTTATGTACGTATATTTATCTCATTGTCTCTTTAACGTATCCTATTGAACAATAATTTCTTCAAGCACTTAATTTTCATGTCGTCGTTATATTTTCATTGAACTTATTACTATAAAATATATGGATCGTATAATAGTCTTTATAATGATGATACAGCGATCTGTAAAGAACCAGTTGATAGTGGATCTTGCACGACCGGTGCTACGAAACGATTTTACTTCGACGAGGAACGTCAAACGTGCCGGGCGTTTATTTATACCGGATGTGGTGGCAATCGCAACAGATTCAAGACTTTCGAATCTTGCATTAACACTTGTCTTAGGAGTAAGTTTAGGAGAGCGAGTTCGCCAATGAGTTTCTTATTCTCTTTTTATTATTGCAGATATACAGCTTTGTTGCAGTGTCATCAGCAATCGCCATTTTTATGCATATATAATCTTTATGTATTTTTATGTTTAAAGGCTTTTCTCGCTTTTTTTGGCAATTTTTATTAAAGCTCGCGTCTCTATCCCTCAATCCTTTGTACATGTGATTAAAATGTATTCGTATATTACCCCGTAATCGTAATTAAATTTAAATATATATTTTAAAAATAATGATACATTTAAAAATGTACATTCTCCTATTGTGATTAAAGTTAAATTTTCACCCGAACGTAAATGTGAAGATAAAAATTGTTGCACATAGTTTTCTACAAGATACAACAGCAAAAAAAGCATAATAACTAATTACTTTTTAACAATTTTTATGCATCTGATATTTAACGCAAATCATAAAATTGTAAATATAGAAAGTTTTTTATATATGTATTATGAAAATTTTTAATATTTGCATTGCTTATATTTCTTCTTCACTGAATGCTAACGCGCTATAATATTTTTTAGCAATATAAATGTGTCAATAGCTTTTCTTCTCTTATATTAAAGTTACTCTTGCCGCTTGAGAAAATAAAATTTTTCAATATTTCGTAATCCTTGATTACAGCGAGTAACGAAATAGATGTGGATTCGGACGATACGAAAGATCGGTGCGCGGAAGCCAGAGAAGAGTGTAATATCATCCGTTGTCCGTATGGTAAAGAGCAATACGTGGATTCACAGGATTGCGAACGTTGCCGATGCGTCGATCCTTGTAGAACGCAGATCTGTCCTGAAGGTACTCGATGCGCCATTACGCTAGTCGCTACGCAAGACGGCACGGAATACAAAGGCATTTGTCAGTCAAGTAAGCATTGTCTTGTAATTTTTTTTTTCGTCAATTGAGATTTTAAATAATTTTTTACGCTATTATAATTAGCGGCATTTGTAATATTTACATACATCTGAGAAAGAACTTTATTTGTGCAGTAAGCGGCGTATGAAGTGCTAAGTAATTTTCTTAAAAATTGGAAGAAAAGAGAGAGAATAAAAGTTAAATTGTCGTCTCTACTTTTATGGAGAAATATATTCTTTTGAAGATAGTTTTGTATTATAGTTTACTAATAATTATTAAATTATTAGTCATTGTATTATTAGTCATCTCCCTATGAATTTGTTTATATAAATATCTGCATTTAATATATATGTGTATAAAATTGCAGTCGTTAAACCCGGTCGTTGTCCAAGAATATCCAACAGCACGAGATGTGAGCAAGAATGTGTCACGGATGCGGACTGCCCCGGAGAATCGAAATGTTGTAACAGTGGTTGCGGTACATCCTGCCTGGAACCTGCACCGGAAGAACCTTTGACAACGACACCACAACCCTCCGTTACCTTACCGCAATACGGTGGTGAACCTGCGAAGATTAAAGAACCCGAAGAACCTCGTGTCAGCGCGCAAGAAGGTGGCTACGTCACGTTGAAATGTGTCGCGCTAGGAAATCCCAGACCGATCATCACATGGAGAAAGGATACTACATTGGTAACCCATATCACAGTATATTTCGAGTGCGCTAAACAAATACTTTATATTTGTAAAAAATATGACAATTAATATATAACTATAATTGAGCAATTATTTTTTTATTGTCTGACTTATTGAATATATTTTATAAATATTGTCCATTTTAGATTGGACCTTCGGAGAAAAGACGACGTATACTACTCGATGGATCTCTTCAAATCATTAATTTATATACTTACGATAGAGGAACTTATGTGTGTACCGCTGATAATGGTTTAGGACCACCGGTAAGAGCGGAGTATCAATTGGACATCACAGGTACGTAGAGAGAATCCATTTATCTTACAAAGAGTGATCTCTGCTCAATATGGCTAGATAGAATAGCATTGATTGGTTATGGGACTGATACTAATTTGATTGTAAATGTCTTGTGAAATGCGGTCGAGAGTATTGAAATAACATAGATTTCTATTTTTATTTAATGCTAATATGTTGACTGAGATATCGATTGTGGGTTTAAATTTTAGTCAAATGCATTTTGATTGGCATGAAGTAGAATTAATAATGTCCTGTAGCACTAGTTATAAATTGAATGTCAGTTAGCGATTTTCGTGGTGATGGTGTGATTAACATTTCTCTTTCTAAGCATCGCGCATGCCCCTTTTCTTGCACTCTTTAGAACCGAGCGAGCTTCCCGTTGCCATCATCGGAGAGCCCGATACTCGCATAACGGTGACGATGAACTCGCCGATAGCTCTGCATTGTTATGCCATGGGATGGCCGAGGCCATTAGTCACTTGGTGGCGTGGCGACCAAATGTTACCTCTGTTTTCGGACAATTACGAGCAAGACACCGATTATACTCTTCTGATACGCTCGGTAACACTAACCAGCCTCGGCATTTACACTTGTCAGGCGTTTAACGGCATCGGTACACCGGCCTCTTGGTCGGCGACCTTGCAAGCGATCGGGCCCGTCTACAATGTTAAGCCCGAACACGAAGAGTACACCAAGTATCTCGTTCAACCACCGAAGAGACCTACTACTGAGAAACCGCAGTATCCTTACAGGCCTACCAGAACGCAATCTCCCGAGCATCAGACCTACGCTCCCGTTTATTCCTCGAAACCGCCTTACATTCCTCGTGTTATTCCTCTCGAAACCACTACCGTTGAGCCTGGTAGCGGTAGGTTCAAAGGTGAGACTGTGATGGCTGATACTTGTGTTTCTAGCTAAATTGCGCCGATCATTGTGACAATTAATTCCTTGCTTCAAATTTATTGCTTTAGATTTCCCCGTAAAGTTTTCATGTCAATGAAAAACTTATCTTTCACTACAGCTTTTAAATAAAGTTTTTTCAAAATGTTTTTTTTTCCGCGAACTGGTCACAATGATGGTGTTATTTCTTTTTCCTGCATGCGCGCTTAGTATGGAATTTATTTACATTGCATTGTACTGTCAGGCTGAGAATGCGTTAAGGTAACTTGCTTATTGGCTACTTGAAATATATTCTAAGACTTTAATACGATTAACAATGTATCCGTATCGTTAGAAAAAAACGAAACTGATGTAAGTATACTCTAAATGGACTTTTTATATTCTCTTGCTGAGAGAAAAAGATTTCTTATTTAATATTCACTGAACGAAATTTTTACACTTTGAGAATATTAATCTTATTTCTTTATCACATAGTGCCGGTCAAGGTCAACGTATCGGCAGGACAGTCGCAATTCCCTGAAGGCAGTGACATAAGCATCGCTTGCACCGTCGACGGTTATCCGATTCCACGTGTACTCTGGTATAAGGACGACGAACTTATTCAAACGAACAATCGAATAAAGATTTCTGGTAAAGCTATAAGTAATAATGTAGTTTATAAAAAATATCTCTATACAATTATTACAAATTAAATTTTCTATAATAGTAATAAAATAAATAATAATATGAATCGTACATTTCTACTTTCAGAACTCAATCGACTTATTATTAGCGATGCAAATCGAGAGGATTCTGGCCGGTATCGATGCGAAGCGGCCAATGACTTCTCCTCGAATTCCGATAGCGTTGATATACGCGTAGCTGGTGAGTGATACTGATTGATATCAATATATATATACGCTAATATTCCTTAACATAAACAATTTAACGTGCGTTTAATTAATGTGATTAATTCTTTCAGGTATCTTTATTCATCCCCATTGTCAGGATAACACGTTCTTCGCCAATTGCGAGCTTATCGTGGCGGCCAAGTATTGCACGCACAAATACTACGCAAAGTTCTGCTGCCGATCGTGCACGGAGGCCGGCCAGCTGCCGGCGAGAGGACCGCATATCGACAATTCGAGAAGAAGAAGGAGATCGATTCTGCGAATGCTCGTATAAGATACGTAATCGACTTTTCGGTATTTCCGACACACGTGATAGCACATATCGATTCTGGATCGTGGCCGGCGGGATTCGCAATAGAAAATAAATGAGGAGAGGAAGTTATTGCGCGTACCTGCCCCTATCGGACGTGCCGGATAATCGACTTGTTAAATCACTGCCAAAGCCTTAGAGCGTTTATACATAGGTATAATATATGTGTACGGTATATTCCCATCAAAAAGAAGCGTGCGAAACTCGATATCGCGCATCTTGACCTGCGCGATCTCGTTCTTTGACGTTTTTATCCATGTATATACGATCTGACGCTGAATCCTAGTCCGACGGAGCCATATTAGGCGGGGTAATTAACTCGTTCTTAAGAGACCAGTGGAAATGTCGCGACTGCGCGTACCTTCCAGATGACATCCCGCGTTACCGAAGTAACCAATGTCGACTGATTAAGCGCGTAATTTTGCGGATCATATTATCGAATACGTGGGAAATATTGTTTCCGAACTGGTGTCCTTTTAAGTATATATTTTATGTGTCGCCATAATAACTGTACTTCAGGTTAATCGTAGAATAATTGCGATAAACTCACAGCAGCGTACCCGCAATAATGTGCGATTCTTGTAAATTTCTTTTTGTGAAGTCAACAGCGAAGCTTTTCGGCAATTCCTGCACAATCTTGAGAATACGATCTGAAGAGTCTTCATCGATGTGGGACGATATAGCGTAGCCATTCCTTTCTCACGCAGCATAGGGTTTAATGAGCACGATACGACGATATGAGAATGGAATGATATACAAAGTAAAGTTTTCTCTCATAGAACAGTTATCTAACAATAAGTCGAGTGATGTCCTTCTTCATTGGACACACTGTAATGCGTTATTAAAAAAGGAACTTGTACCTATTCCTATTAAGCGTATGTGCACACGTTACGTTGTATAATATAAATAGTTTATTATGCAATATGCCATTTATACTCTATAATATTGTTATTACTTATTTCTTACACTCGTACATGTGTTAGCATAACGCCTGCCGACTCCAAGATAAACTCGTTATCTTTTTCGTTATCATATATACATATATCATTCTTCTTTTTTAGACAAAGAACGCTTAACATTTTAAGAGCAAATGTCGGTATTAGACATCTATCTAATGAAACAAAGATAATAAACAAGCAGAACCTTAACATTTATATTCAGTTGAGAATTTTGATGATATTTAAATTTTTGTTAATTTAATTTTTTGTCTTCTTCAAAGATAAAAAGGCTTTCAATCAGACGTGTAGCTTTGATTTGATGTACATTTTTTGAAAACAATTTGAATTGTATGTACTGAAATGTTTATCCATGAAATTGAGATTGACTGTAAATGCCCATTTGAGACTTCATTATTCGATAACAATTCTGAAAGTAAAACTAGATAATTTTTACATGAATCTTAGATATGCGCAAACAAGAAACATGTAATTCTATTTATGCAAAGAACGCGTAAATATAATTTCGCGCTCGCTTAATACTCTTAAATTATGCGTCGCATCGCATCTTTCACCTGTCGTGACACGCATGTACAGCCAATCTTCTACTTTATCCAATCAGCCATTGCATTCGTGTGCAAATTTGCTGCATTGAACTATTAATTACGCACTGTTTGCTATCGTTAGACGCATCGTCATTCGTGATGTGTCAAGTAGATCGTAGAAATACCGATTATAAAAAGTTGACGATCATAAAGATAAAACGGGAAGAGGAAAGGTACCAAAACGCATTTATATACACACCGTAAGTGTAAGTCGTAAGTCGAGATCGTTACCGATCAGAGTCGACGTATCGCAAAACCTCTAGGACAACTCCTGATTGTTCCGTACTTGCACCGATTCAGTCGCAGTAAAACGCAGTGCCTTATTAGATGACCTTTGAAAGGATTGGGAAAAGAGTGCTGAATATACACGACGTCTCGTTAGTATAAATAGTTGTTCACGTATCTGCGTATTTCTTTCTCACATGACGTCAGTATTGTTGTCGTATATAAAACAAGATAGTAGATTAGATTCCGGTAGATTTTCATCCGGAAAAGACATTATTCATTCAAAAACGCGAACAAGAATAGTATCGACGAAGATATTAAGTACTCTTCTCCTTTGTGCTCTCCTTTAGGTATGACCAAGAGAACATGTAAAACCGTTATAGCGAATAGTACTACGTAGCATAGTGACCCATTTAATTCGATAAAGCGATCTAGTAATGATATATAGACAGTCGACGTTGATCAGTTGTCTCCCGTAGATTCGGAATTGATTACAGGAAACGGAAACGGATGGAAAACGGAGGAGTGCGAAAAGGTAATTGCGTTAAAAATCGTAAAGCACATCCTATAGGTGTACATCGCCCGTGTTAAAAAATCGTTCTATTGTAAATAACTATTTACATCGTATGATTCGAGGCATTGTCGCCTGCGAACATGCCCCGTCACTTTACGTATATAGATATAATTTTCACACAGCGTTGATTTAACTTCAAGTTAACATTACGTATCACGAAAGGGTGACATATCTTGTACAGTAAGTACCGATGTCCATATAGGTGCGTCTAGCAACGTGTTACGATTACATCAATGGACCTGATTAAATTGGGACCGCGATTCTCACACGGAATCGTTGGAACTTACCTCGCGCATAACGACGTCGGTTATCGATAATGATCCGCTGTCTTCCTCGACACACGGGCAAAGTGTGTCGCACTTTTTTTCCTATTTTGACGTTGCGATATTTCATCACGATCGAGTGCTACAAATTTCGACACAAAATTGACCTCCTTGTAGAAGAAATTTGCCAAAAAAGAAAGGAACCACGATTCATATCCCTCATGCGTTATATCGATAGAGGTATAGAGCTCATCACAACAGTGCTACCGTAAAAGTCTTATAGCGGATGTAATTGTAATTGTAAGTACCCGTAGGTAATGATTAACATACATATATATAATTTTAAAATAAAAGTAGATATAAATATACGAGAGAATGCCATTATCTACGATTATTGTATGGACAATAATAATATATAAGGTCCTTAAATATATACGATTACACTGTCAAAACGATTATTATTTTGCGATAACGAGAAACCAATCGACGAGATCGTTTATAAGAATCTTTTTTTCTAATTGCTAATAGCTGATAGCGATACAGTAAAACGGTCTTTTAGTAAAATGTTACTATAATTCTATAGTAACACAGATTATTGATTAAGGATCTAAAATACTTATTAAGTCTTCGGAGATTAGAAAATCGACACATAAATTCAAATAGTAATCAACATATATGAATAAAGTCAAGTTCTCGTCGGTCCGTTGCGTAAATTCGGCACGCGACTAGGACGCATCAAAAAACGCTTGTGTTGTTCCTCTGCTCTGATGGTTCTCTCTATGCGTTCCGTGGCGATGCGTTCGATCTCCGCGAATAGCTCGCTGTGTATGTCTATGCATTGACGGAAGTCTTTACGATCTAGCCGATACACCTCGCAGACTTCGATCGCGACGACACTGGCTACTCTTCGCTGATCCGCCACCAAGAGCGCGATCTCGCCGAAATGGGCACCGTCATTCAAATGGCACATCTCGAAATAACACACAGAGAGTAAATTTCTTTTTCGCAGTCCAAACGAACTTAATATTGGATATTCAAAGAACTAACTTCCTTTCCAGTTGGCGTCAAAACCGCGACGGTCCCGGAGGACAAGAAGAACATACAGTCACCGTGACTACCAGCTTTAATGATTACGTCGTTTGGCAAATATAACTCGAATTTTAAGTTCTTCACTATTGACTGCAGAACGTTTCTTGGCAAATTCTTAAAGATTGCCACGTTCTCGATCAATCGTCGACAAGATTGAAGCGCGATCTCTTCACGTAGCGGTTCTGTAGAAAATCCAGATTGTATATTAACAGTTATTATTTGTAAAAATGTTATGTGGTCCTCTTTTTCCCATATATTTTATTAACCTGTCAAATCTGATAAAATCCGTTTACTGCGAAAGTAAGTGTTCTTGAAGCGATAATGATAATAAGCTAAGAGACGTTTCTTCATGTGTGGCAATAATTGTTTTTGTCTCGTGTATGCTTTCACTTGGTCTATTAATTCTTGAAATTTTGATTCGGATGACTTTCTTTCAGCTTTGATATGAAGGAACATAACTAAAAGACACGACATATGTCCGACATTTGAAGGAAATGTCTAATATGCATGATTTTTAATAATGAAGTGTAGATCTTACTCAATATATAGCACACAATGAATCTACCGATAATCATGAGGATACTATTGAAAATGATGGAACCGTCTGTCTCTGGTACAAACGGGCCGTAGCCACTTGCTAATATATTTTCCAGCACGATATATGCAGCGTTTTTTAATCTGAATTGGAGACTGCTGTCTTCCAATTTCATCATCCAACAATCTTTGCATTCCTTTTTACACACATTACGAAATATATTTTAATAATTGCCGCTTGAAAAATATAAAAATATGGAAACGTTCGCGTAGAGATCAATATTGAAGATATGCTTACCTTCGGCGGAATGTTCATAAAGTACATCAGCAAAATCGGTATCAAGTAACACAAACAGGAAAACCAAAAGATTAAGTATAATCCTAGCAATAGGGTGGTGCATAATTCCAAATAAAAATTTTTTATTTCGAAATGCTAAAAAATTGGTCGATATGATGCATATTGTATGATATCATCGTAGAAAATATATGAGGAAAAATTACCATAAATAGATAATAAATGTTTGAGTTAAAAGTGCAATAGCGTGTTAATTTCAGGAGAGGCATAATATTAATTAAAGTAACGATATAATGAGGATTATTTCCCGGTAATCTTCGCCACTGTAGTGTTATATAACTATACGGAACAGACGATAACACATCCGGCACAAGAAATCTTTTGAGATAAAACCTAAAAGAATATGTATTTAACATTAAGCGGAAATTAATAAAAATAATTGAATTAACGAAATATTAGATATGATATCTCACATAAATATTTTAATAGGTTTCAACTCGACAGACATAGTTTTCTCGTCGTAATATCCCGTAATACAATTAAGTATTATATCTAACCAACAGATCGCGTAAATTGGAAGATTCACTGTATCCAGACGAATTGTTTCGTAGTCCATTATAACGAAGCAAACCATAAAGGGGATTGTAAAGAAAGCGATCATGTAGATTGCCGTCATCAAAGTATCCCAAATAAATCTGTGAATTCTCTTATTCAGAAAGAGAAAACAATGCGTTTTTGTTGTACATCAGAAAGGTAAAGGTATTGCCTGGCATAACTGAATGGATGTATTATCCACCAATATTTAGATTCAGCATGTCTTGTTTTTTCGGCGGCGATTGTGGCATTGCTGTCCACGTGAAAACCACATTTTGGAGTGTACTTGCTGATACCGCACCAGGTTATCCATACGTTTTTAAAAGTCAAGGGTTTTACATCCATAAAAGGAAACTTACTTTCTCTTTTCAAAGACAGTTCACATATATGCTCGATCATAGTTAATAGCAAGAATAAAAAAACTTTTTATCTCATTGATGAGATATCCAAATGGCACGTAAGGTTAAACGAGTAACTTGTTTATGTCTAAAGAAAACTTCTATTGTTTTTCGGACATTCTCGGTGTGTAGTAGCATTTTATTTTTGTAATCTTTGTAGCTTGTAACGAAAAAGATTTACGTCAACATATTTCTTAAGCTCGGATAAATTAAAATAGACTATTTAAAATATTTTATGATGTATCGAAAATTAAAACATTACAATTTGACGAATCGGTTATTGTTTGCTATAGTATTTTCACATTTTCTTTTCCTCATTTTCTAAAAAGTTTATTTACACATGCTACAAATAATAGAATTACATAAAGTTCTAAAGAAATAATTACTGCAATGTAATGTATGTTGCATCTATGATTATTAAAAATGTATTTATGTTAAAAAATATAACTAGACATGTAAGCTATATGTTATGATAACGTTACAATAGATACATGTGTCTATCGTATCATCTAGTATAATTTGTCTATTTTAAGTAACTAAAAATTGCGCGGAAAGAATTGGATTTCATCGATATTACCGCGCGATATATTTAGCTTAAACTTTTTTTCAAGAAATAAATTCACAAACATTCTTCATTACTTCACTTGTACGTGTACTGATCATAACACTCGTGACAAAGATTTTGATAATTAATAAAATGAGGCATACATCAAAGCAAGCATCAATCAAATATTCTATGTAATTAAACAATTTTGTATCTCAACTGTAGTGCAAATTAAAAATAAAATATAAGTACAAACGATGTTGATCAAAATGCAACTTTTACTTTTGATCATCTAAACAAATAAATGTTTAAAGAATTGAAATACTCTTCATTGCTATTTGGTGTATTTATTTTATCATTTTATTTCAAATAACAACATGATATTATGTAAAAAATATCTGGTGAACTATCTTAAGAAATATTGTGACGCAACTAAATAGTAAAGACCCAAAGATTTTTATTAAAGCAAATAATAATTGCGCTGGATTTAATTTAAGCTATCAGTCTTCCCGGGTCATTTTCTTGCATCTTTTATTTTATTTTGTAAACGTTTTAAAAAAATATGAGTCATGATACATCTATGTGTACATATTTCTGATCTGATTACATAAGTGATCGCGTCAAATTTCTTGAGGCAAGATTTCTTCATGGATATAAATATGGAAATATGTATATAATATTACGCTGTTGAAGTTTATAATATCTAGAATATTGTTCTATCATGTTTATATTCATATGTATATAGAATTTTTGCGACCTAATACGATCCTGTTAGACTAGAGGTTCTCAAATATTTTTAACAGTAAAAGCAACGTATACATTTCACTCAAAAGTTCAAATTTATATCTTGTATATTAAATTTAAATGTATTAAAGTGTTTTCTAATTGCAAACATCACAAATCTATATAAAACAAAATACAATTTTGTTAGAAAAATAATAAATATGTAGCGATTGCAACAAAATCTGCTTATAATGAGATTTATACAATAGCATTCAATTGCATGTTATATTAATCTTATTAATCCTACATTATTCGCGTAGTTTTTTCAACGTAAATATGTTACACCCCAACATTACGCTTTAATTTTTATTGTTTTTTTTTTTAATTTACAGTTAAATAAAGGTTGATAATATTCTATATATTTTTTAAATAAAGTGCAAAGCTTTCTCTAATTGTGAAACAATTTGTGCAGCATTCGATCGATAAAAAGTTTTTACTCTGCAAATTTAGTAAATTTCTAAGGCTGGGATGTATCTTACACGCGAGTAACGTAAGATTAAATGTGAAAACCTCTAGATTATATTCAAGCAATTTATGCTTCTTCACTTTGCACATATTTTATATTAATGCAACATTGACAATACTACGGTATTATATAAATGCGCCATCATGTTTTTAGATAATCTGCGATCCGATAACTCGCGTACGTTCCTTTTGAGGTTTATTATAGATGTTTCACTTTTTTTAAAGATACAATATTACAATATTACAAAGATCACCACCCTAGATATTCGAATGATCGAGGTTTCGTATTCATGTTTACCGATTGAAACGATTATTACGATTTGTCACGTTCACTTGACAAATCGAGCGTTACACGTAACACGCGGATTACATATACAACATGCATCAGGAGTCGATATAGTTGAGCAACATTAATTATCAAAATGAATCAACTTGTTCAGGGATACGTGACGATATAATGTCATCAGGAAATGCGCGGCAGGAACACGTTATTCAAGCGTCCCTCTTCAAGCTTTAGCCATCAGGATTCGAACAACGGTCAACAATCAGAGTTCTGGTCACACGTATCAAACATCAAACATTTTTCTAAACGGCAGTTTGTCTTTTCTAATTTTACTTTCCACACAGAGGGTGAAAATCTTTGCCAAACGTTACAAATTGTCCTTCGTGGATGTATCACAGTGCGCGGTATTCTCTTACGAGGAGGTTTTGTGCGAGGAATATCAGCAATCTTAAACATCGATGCCGAGCAACTCCCGGCTGTCGGCCTTGGAGAATCGGCGACGTAAGCTGCGACGACGAAACTCCCTCCATCAGACGGACGCGCGCTTCATCCGTAGACTGGCAGAAGTCGGGGGTGGTCGGTAACCCTGATACCCGGAGGGATCCAGCAGCTCGGAATTCGTCGGGCCCAGACAGGTGCAGGAGCATACGCTCACGCAATCGTCCGTGTCGTGCATGATGGGCATGTGGCTGGCCAGGAGCTTTCCGTTTACCGCCACAACCTCGCCGTCCAACGTTAAAACGTGATGCGAGGCGGATTGCATCTCGGTGTCTTCGCGGCGCGCCTCACCCGAATCCCTAAAGTGATGTGTGTGTTTCAGGATATTAATAATAATCTTTTTTTTCAGACATATATAAGATAATCCGTTCTGTTACAAAAAAAATATATTTACGTCGTCATGAACCGCAATACGAGCAAGTTAATACTGGCGGCGACTACGGCCAAGCCAAATAGGATGAAGATCAAACTCAAAATCACGTATCCAGGTTTGTTGGAGAGCGCTTGATCATTCTGCAACACAATTTATCTGTAAATCTTAGTCACTTTACTGCTTCTCTCGTGATCAGCCGAGCGATATTTACCTGGAGAGCGACATAATCACCGAAACCTATAGTCGTGAGCGTTACAAAACAGTAATAAAAGCTATCGAAGTAACTCCAGCCCTCGTATCTCGAAAACACTGCGGCACCTGTCGTAATAATTATACTCGAAAGCAGACCGGTCGCCAGCATAAGATTCATCTCTGTAGCTTCGGTTTTTTGACACCTGAGATACGTCTTTGCTCGTCTGATCACGACCGATGCGAACTTGTTCAATCGCTCGCCAATGCTCTGGAACATCACCAGTCCCAAAGGAATTCCCACCATTGCGTACACCATACAAAACGCCTTCCCGGTTTTGGTCACAGGAGTGGAATGCCCGTAACCTTGAAAAACATTTAATTAAAATACGACTCTCTCTCTCTTTCTCTCTCATGATTTTATTTTAATATCAATTATAAATGTATTTTTCGTATTAGTACAAAACATAATTTTTATAATTAAACTTAGAGATTTAATGTGGTCTATATAGTCTTTAATATATTAAAAATAATTAAATTTAAATAACTTTCGAGGATAGCACAAGCGCGACTCACCAATCATGGCTAATACTAAAGTAGCAAAATAGAAGGCACCCGCAAACTTCCACTGCGGCCCCGCTTTATGTGGCTTGTTCTCTATTATTACAATTTCGACCATCTTGTAGTCCTCCGGCGTGATATTGTACTTCTTCATCATATTACGGCGTATCTCTGCAGCGGCATATTTCCCGCCGCGCGCGAGCGGCGGAAATAATGAATTATCAATTAACGACCCGCTTAAAAAATATATTCGTTCGACTGAAACAGCGAAAAGGGGAAAACTCACCCGAGAGAAATTCCCAGCGTTTCCTCTCAGTGTCCGATTCGAGGGCGTCAAACACCGCGGCGCCAACGAGAAGATACGTAAAAGTGCACACTACCAACGACAGAGTTCTAACATTTTGTCTCTTCATTTTCGCCGTTTTGTCCTTTGCGGGAGTATCGCGCGCCTAGGCGCGCTGTAGAATGAAAAATTCAGCGATCACACTCTCAACGTGTTTCCCGAGATTTCCCCAGACAGTAACGTTCCTCGCAAAACGCGGCATTTATGCAGGATAACACTTTGCGCACGGGATGTAAAGAAATATTTATTTCGCACCGAAGAGACGAGCGTACACGCGGAAAGTTTGTATCGCATATCAGGCGGAATATTCGTCGGAGAACTCGAGACGGCCACGAAAGTATGCACGGTACTCGCGAGTACAACAAAATCGCTGCACGCTCCGTCCCGAGCACCGAGTATTGATCGCAAACCGACGAAGGGAGTTTCGTGGGGATACGCCGCTGCTGACTTACTTGAAAGTATACGTAGGGGGATGATCGCGAGCCCCGGTGGTAACTATATTGATGTTGCATCCAAGGGATAACTGCGATAACCGAATGATAATAACATTGATGTTGCGGTCCAGTAGTACAACGCGTTTTCGTCGCGACAGTAGTTATATCAGTTATACGCAGACCACCGATCGATGTGAACGAGCCTCGCCCAACTTTGCACGGCAAATCTACTGCTGATAATTTGGCAACTTGCGTAACCAACTTATCTACAAATTTATTATATATAATTTATCTTTTATCTTTTAAATAATTTATTCAATATTCAGGATGGACATGCAAAGTCCCGAAAGAAAATGTGCCGAAATTTGAAAACTCGTATATATTGTCCCAAAAAGTAAAAATCCCAAAATTTAAGAAACGTGACAATGTACCGAAAGGGCAAAATCCCGAAATCTTAGAAATGAGACAGTATCGTTTGTTCCAGAAAACAAATGATTGTCAGATAATCCCCCCACCCCTAAAAAAAGTTGTTATAGGCTGCGTTCGTCTTGACGCTTTCAGCGCTGAAAGCATCGCTCTATCTTCGTTTGATGTTCGATGTGCAACAAAGATAGAATGATGCTTACAGCGCTGAAAGCGTCAAAACGCACCCAGTCATAATAGCGAACATCAGGTAGAAGTTTCAAAGTCCTAGATCATTTACTCTCGAAACGGCGAACAATCAAAATCTCGGTGGGACACGAAAGTACATGGTTGGGGGATTACGTCAGTGTTGTATAATTTAAGCGTATTTAAAATATTTTTGTCGTTAAAAAAACATTTGACATTCCACAGAGGACTATTATAACTCAGAGGCAGGTGGAAGAGGTGGGGAAAAGCTACGATTATAAAAAAAAAATTTAATTTTTTTACATAAAAATATCTGTTACTGCACTTCAAATTCGTCTTTTCTTATTCAGAAATTCTTTTTTAGCATTCTTTAAGTCCTTAAAGTCCTTCTGTACCATTTAAAAATTACCAAATTTGCGGCGACGAAATTAAGTATTCCTATTTAATTAATACTTATCTCATTTTTTTTCTCATTTGCACTACTTTTAGCTTTAATTTGCGTGTTTGATCATTAAGCTTCGTCAATTTGTTCGTGAGTTATGATTTTTTAAATAAAACGAGTCGTAACGTGTTGTCAACATATAATTGTTGTAAAAAAAATATTTAAATAAATTATTTCCAAATGTTCTTTACATTGATTTTTAGTCAAAGGTACAAAGATATTATAATAATTTTGGGGGAATTTTTCAAAGCTATTAACATTTTGAAAAACGCGTGGGACTCGAAAGTGCATGGCTGGAGGACTGATGTGCCAGAAAATACGTTGGAGGGTTTAAGGGTTAAGCACGTGTGTGTCAAAGCCAACAATTGGATACAAAAATCACTCGAAATAACATGAACCGGAATTGGAATTAAATTATATATTTATAATTTAAACTACCATGATCATTTATTACGTACTTCTTTTTTAATCTAAGTTTCTTTAAAAAATATAAATCATTATAAAAGAGCGTTTTTTGCAAATGTAAATAAAGATTTATATTTACAAAATAATAGGTATTTTATTTGATATTTAGAAAAATGTTAACTTTTGCTCCATTTGCGATACATCTTTTGAAAGCGTGATTAAAAAACGTGAAAGAAATTCTAGAGCATTATAATAATTTTAATGCGCAACAAACAATTCTGCAATCAATTTATCATCACAGTTTTGCAATTTATTTAAATTGCATTACGTGAATAGATATGATAATCATGAAACGACGGACGTCCTGAAAACGATAATTTGTTGTAAGTACATCGATTAATTAAATAGATACACGAGATCCCGTTGACCATGATAAAAAACATTTATTTGATATTCAATTCAATTGCTATTTTTATTTATCATGCATTAATCCTTATTTAGCATTTCCAAATTTTCGAAAAAAGGTACTATTTTCGAAAATCTACTATTCGTTGACTTCGTCGTGCATTACCTTCCAAGTTGTTAAACTTGGGCGAGAAAAAAAGAGGAATTTGTAAAAATTAATATTCCTTGAGTTTGAGATTACAACATTATCCGTTATCGCATATCTGTTATCGTAGGCACCGTTTTATATTAATATAGCTTAGAAGGACAAAAGATGATGAGCCTCCGGCCTTCGGCTCTATCAATGCGATATGATTGCGTTGCAGGATCCTTCCGCAGTATAAATAAAAGAGCTATGCAACAAATATTCTTATTTTGCGGCGAAGAACATAAGAATACGTACCACATAGCGCAACTAAAATTTATATCAGCCTCAGATTGTTGTGCAAACAATGAGGCGGTTAATCCTTCTGTAAGTAACTTAATTATAATAATTATTTTTTAAATACGATGTCAATCATAAGCGAATCGGCGATTACTAATTTTGATTTTTAGAAAACTAATAATCTGTTTTAATTGATAAGTCAGGAAAGCCTAAGCGATCCATATTTATATAGATGTGTTTTTCTCGTTTCGAATTCTAGATTCACTACCTGAAATAAGTACTTGTATTAATTAAGAATTATTCTTTATACAATACATTAGATTTATTTTTTATTTTTTATTTTCATATATCGTTATTCATCATTTCTTACACAGTACCATTATACTTATTTGATTTTGAATTGCATTTTGTAGCGCCTTCATTGGCGTGCTTCTAGTGAAAAATGGCACACCGTCGAAAAACCAGAAATATCCTTCACATCTGGAATGGTTGTTTGGTTTAAACAATAAACAAGATAAAAATAAGGAAGAAAGTAAGGAAGATAATAAGGAAGTAAATAAAGAAGTAAATAACTCGACCGTATGCCAATCTCAGGAGTGCAAAAAAATAGGTATTTATAAAACAGCAACGGATGTAGTTGTAATTATAATTCAATTAACAGCTATAGTCTTGATAATTTAAATCTTTATAATTATCCATTGTTTTTTTTCTTGCTTTCATTTTTTTCCAGCTCGGATAATAACGGAGAGCATGGACAAAACTGTGGATCCGTGCGATGATTTTTATGAATACGCATGTGGAAACTGGCCGAAGCATAATCCCCTTCCGGAGGGGAAGAAAACCTGAAGTATGTTCGCAAGTGCGCAAGAGAATGTCAAGAAGCAAATAAAGGGTAAACGCCAAATCAGCTCAAACTGTAATTCAAAACTTGTGATATTAAAGATTGAATGATATTTTGCAGAAATTTTTGACGAGGGTCCCAAGAAGAGCGATCCTCTGGCGGTGAAGCTCGCGAAGAAGTGGTACGCGGTATGCACGGATACAGGTAAGCGCGAATGACTCTCGAATGAATTAAAACCGTTCAAAAATTCGAATATTTATTATTTTTATACATAATCGTGTTCCACGATATAATCGCTGATTCACGAAATTCTTCTAGATGCAATGGAGAAGTATGGGCTCGAGCCGCTTGTCTTTACCATGTCGCGAATAGGCGGCTGGCCGTTGATAATGGAACCGGACGAGTGGAACGAGCAGGAATACAGTTGGCAAAAAGTGGATGATCAATACGTGCGCTTGACGGGAAAAAATGCTTTTCACGACGTGCGCGTGATCGATTATGGTTGGAACAATACTCGGAAAATAGTACATGTACTTATCAGAAGTTTTTAAATAAAATTATCATTATGTATGGTATTAACATTACGCAATCAAATCCGAATCCAAAAGCGATGTAATTGGAGTCTTTATAACGTTATTATACAGCATTCACATATGTATCATCGAGCACTTATTTTATGCGTTGCTCTTTGCATTACACGTGGATGTAAATTTATAATCTAAACATTTGCCTTAATTTCTCATTAGTGATCTTTTTTAATGTAAGTTCTTGTTGCTAGATCAATATGCCGCATATGCCTCCGGGTTCATATAGAGTCTGGGGTGAAATCGACGATAGCGAAGAAGATGAAAGCGATGAGGATCCTAGTGACGAGGAGAAGCAAAGCGACGAGCAGAAAGATAGTCAAGAACCTGGAAGCGAAAACAAAGACGATAACGAAACCGGTACTAATATTAACTGTAGGAAATTTAGGACCGTAGGGCCGGTATTGATAGGAGATCGGGAAAATCAACGTAGTAGTAGAGCAGTCATGGGGTAGCAGCCTAAGTGCTAGGCGTATGAACGAAGGATCCCGAGTTTCGAGTACCGGTCGGCTCCGTTAATTTTTTTCCGTCTCTTTCAGATCCCAGTGACGAGGAGAAGCAAAGCGACGAGCAAAAAGGTAGTCAAGAACCTGGAAGCGAAGACAAAGATGATAACGAAACCGACACTAATAGTAACGATGACAATGAAAGTGATAATGACGACGACGATGAAGACGATAATAACAATGATGACGAAGATGATAATGATGACGATGAAAATGACGCTAAAGATGACGACGAAGATGATGAAGATGATGATAACGATACAAACGAACAGAATGACGATGATAACGAGAAGAAAAAAGTCGGCATGAAAAAGACTGGTAAGTCCGTAAAAAAAATAAAAAATAAAAATAAAAAATTGGGACATAGTAAACGGATGAAGAGTAGTACTCACTCCAAGAAGTACAAAAACCATAAGATGAAGAAAGAGAGGGTAAAGAGACGAGCAATATCGACACATGTTCACGAGAAATTACACGTGCGGAAGAACAAAAGAAATCGCGTAAAGCATCAAGAACATATGGAGAGACTAAAGAAAACTTTAGAGGCGACAACACCGCAGATCAGTACAGAAGTAACGATTGGTGAAGTTGATGAGCTGAAGAAATACACTAATTACATCTCGAAAGTAGCTCGCGCCATAGCGAAAGTAAGAGGTGTCGAAGTCTCGGAGGAACATATGAATAAAGATATTCAAGATATGATCAAATTTAACATGAAACTAGCTAAGGTGAGTGTTATACATTACTTCGTAGGCAACGGAAAAAAGAAGACTGTATAATAGCCCGAATAATAATATATTTCAGATTACTACATATCGCAGCAAGGATAAGAAGATGACACTCAAAGATTTCCAAGCATGGTATGATGAAAAGAAACCTGCAACTCCCAACAGCGCAGTAAGTCGTTTTTTAATTGATTAATTTAATCTGTTATTGTCTCTGACTAATGAAGCATGATTGACGCCACATAGATTAACTGGGTGTACAAAATTGGAGAATTATTTGATGAGGCCCACGTGACTATAGATAGCGATTTAGATTTAGAAATTAATTTACCAAAATACTTCGATGGTCTTGTCGCTTTGCTGGATGAGACGTCGAGTCGAACAATAGGTAAATTTTGATAGAAGTGCGGCGATAATAAGGAAATGTCGTCGATAGACACGCTCACGCGAGATATGTTTCAGTGAACTATATACATTGGAATTTCTTAAGCAGAATAATAAGAACTACCACAAGTGAAATGAGAAAATTATACAATGCATGGGAAGGAAAAGAGATATATGGATTTCCAGCGAGGTATGATGCCAAGCTCTTTTATCGAAAATATAGTTTCTCACATAATTATCAGCGTAACCATTCGCTCTTCACCTCGCTAGAAATATAATTATTTTTTATTACATTCTATTTTTACCCTAACAAACACCAAAACTAACGTTTACATACTCTTCATCTGTTTACTATGTCCTAATTTTTTTTTTTTGCGAACTCGCCAGTCTTTTTCATGTTTTTTTCTTCTCGTTATCATCGTGATTCTATTTGCGTTAGTTGGTGTGTTTGCATGCTGGGTACATTCTTATTCTTAATATAGTCTTAACGCGTGAATCAAAATTGAGTTGGTTCTAGATTATATCGATGTCAAACTGATCATGAATTGTTACCACAGATGGGACCAATGTACACGGGAAATGGAGATGAGCGACATTCTAGCGTACGAATATGTGAGAAACCATTTCTCTGATGAAATCCTGGCAACCGTAAGCACTTTGTGTTGAATTATTATAACAGTCTTCTGACTATCTTTGTTCGATTGGATCACTTATTCCTATTGCAGGCATCGGACATGATAGACGATATACAAAAGGAAGTAGAGTATCAGATTAAAGAATCAGATTGGGTGGATGAGGATACTAGAGATTTTGTTTTAGCGAAATTAGTAAATATGAACAACTTTGTCGGATATCCAGATTGGTATAGGAATAACACTATCGTTAAACAATATTTTCAAGGAGTAAGTTTCTTAAAATTCATTAATTGCCACTCCCCATAGTGACTGTTTTATTTAATTATAATGTTCTGTTAAAGCTCGTTGTCGGAAATTCGTATTACGAGAATACTCTCAGCTATGACAGATACCGTAAGTGGAAAAATCTACGAAGCTTATTGAAGACAGGTGAAGAGGAAGAGGAAGAGGAAGAGGAGTAAGATATTGCATTTGTATTTTTTCCGACATAATTACAGCTTTATTTTTTAATTTGCAAAATAAATTCATGTAATAAATTTCGTGTTACAGAATATTTCAGATAAGCCCTGTAATGGTAAATGCATTTTTCTCCCGGGGTGACAATTCCATAGGTTCGCCTTTTTTAGAAGAATTAAATCTAAACGAATTTACAACTATTCACGTTGTCATTGATATTAATCTCTTTTTCGATTATAGCCCTCTCGGCAGCGGATTTCCAGAGCCCATTATTCGCTTATGACCGACCGCAGTAAGTGAATAATTTTGATTAAAAATATCAACGCGACTAGCGTAGCGATAAGCTTACATTATTACAAACAAGCTTACATTATTTCTAAAAAATTTATAATTTTTAATAAAATAAACCAAAATCATTTTTAATAAAATTTTTTCTAACTACGCTTTATTCCAGAGTTATTAATTATGGTATTATTGGATTAATCATCGGTCACGAAGTTAATCATGGATTCGATGATGATGGTAACGTTATGAAATAATATGTATTTCTCGTTTACTTTATTAAATTACAGTATTTCATTGTTGATAATATAGTGACATCTATCATTTTACTCCAAAGTATATCTAAAAAATTCTTTGAAAATATTTAAAAAATATGATAAAAAGAACCACAAAATAATTTTTAGGACACTTGTATGATAAAAACGGAGATTTTGTGGAATGGTTATCCGCAATGGACGAAGCATATGGCAAAAGAGCAGAATGTTTTGTCGAACAATTTAACAATTATCCCGTTGACAAAGAATCGAATTTTAAAATAAATGTACGTTATCTATTCTGTATTTTTGATTACCATTTTAATTTAAATTACCGTTATTTTTCTTGTCGTGCGTCTTGAAAATGTTTAATCGTATTTATATTGTCAAAAATTGCAGAATTATGGCAACAAGACGGCGGGAGAGAATATCGCGGATACAATGGGATTAGAGGCAGCGTTTAAAGCGTATCAAAGGAGAGAAAGAGAATGTGGAAAACCGGATACTGTGTTGCCGGGCCATGAAAACCTCACGACCGAACAACTTTTCTTCCTGTCCTTTGCTAATGTAAGTATCACAGATCATGAATGCAGAGCTGCAATAATTAAAAATTGCGAGAATAATAATAATAATTAAAGTAAACGTTTATGTGTTTTAATATATGTTTGAAATTACGGTAATGCTTGCAGTTGTGGTGTGAAGCTGCGGCAACGAATAACGCCACTATAGATGACGCTCAATCTGACGTGCATAGCACCGGACGGTTGAGAGTGATAGGAAGCGTTTCAAATTCACGAGACTTCGCCGAAGCTTACAATTGTCCGGTTGGCAGTGCAATGAATCCCGAAAAGAAATGCCATATTTGGAAATGATTAACTACAAATATTACAAATTAAGCTTCTCAATACTTGAAAAAAATGTAAAATTGATTGTTTGTAATTTTCTATCCATATATCGATGAGTATATATAGTATGTAAAATAAGACATATATATATATTTATATATAATTAATATATATATATATAATTATAAAATATATATATATATAATTAAAGTATATAATCCAGAGAGTACGCAGTTAAATTTTTACGTAAAAATATTAAAAATTTAGAAAGTTATTGAATATTTCGTAAAAAACAATTTTTTGGTTTATAAGCCATATTTTGAATTTTTGAACCATAAAGCTTTATTAATAACCCTTTACAAACAATCTCACATTTATTTTGAGTGTTGCAAGAATACACCCTTTTAATTTCAGCCAAAAAGAATTGATCCCCCGTTTGTGGTAATTACGCAAAGTAGCGCTGGGTCAAAATGACCCAGTGTGTATTTTATGTTTCAAACAGGTAGTGTGTATGTTAAGGGTTAAGAAAACTATGTAAAGTATAATTTCACATAATCCAAATATGAGATTTTATTTAGTAGAAAGAAAAAATTTTATGTGTTTAAGTTTATATACATATGTGTGCGTATAGAAAGTGGGAGAGAGAGAGAATAAAAGATTACGTAACTTTTATATTTTTGTTATTTTACTTTTGTGAAAAAGTTTTATAACATTTTTAGTTATATAACACTTTAGAAACTCTGTAAGAAAAAAAAATAACAGGAAGCTGAAACATCGATCTTTATAAGAAATGGTCACTATCAGGAACTCATAATCTGCCGGACATGGGAAAGATTTCCACGTCCCCTCATGATATTGACAAACACATTAAAAGACGCTCAGAGATGGTATATAAGAACAGAAAGCATTGTTATAAATATATATAAGTTATAATAAGTTATTTAAATAATGTTGTTGATTCCTCGATTATGATTTTTCAGAAAAGATCAATGCTAATTACCGTTTAAGCCAACGACATAAATGGTAAATCAATGCAGTGAGAAGAAAAGATTGCGTCTCTTATTTCCGCGACGGACGAAAATAGCCAATAGCTGCTGGTGATGAGAACAGAATTCTTCATGACAAGAGGGATATCATATATCAACAATGACCCGTGCAAATGTTTGATGAAGGAAAAGCATGCTGGAATTATCACACAGCTATAAGTAGAAATATCTTGTGCTTGAGCCGACAGCGAGCAAATCCCAAATATGTAAATATTTTTTTTCTGTTAAAAATAGAATATAGTTTTTAAAATTTAGAATTTTTGGAATTGAAAACGTCAAAACTTTGTAAATTAATTCTAAAATAATAGACTGATTAAGTAGATGTCTCGGGAAAGTTGTAAAATATTTCTATGTAAAAATATAAAATATTTATTATTTTTTTCTGAAATTATCTAAAATCTCAATAGTACTAAAAAAAAAATCAACGTTTTTCTAATATTGTACGCGACACACGCACGCACACAAATGTAAATTACGTACAAAATATCGTAACAATTCTTCGAAATTAAATGGGTTATTTAAAAAGCTAGCTATGGTTTTGTGAAGTTGATAAAATCATTTATTTCACATTTTTCTTCAATTTTCTATTTTACAAGTATTTTAGTGTCATCTGCAGCAATGCTGTGCTACATCACGCGTTATACGCACGAATTTCCTCAATCCGAGTATTTCAATATCAGAAATACAGTAGCCTATAGCACCACTGCCATGAATTTCGTGAATTATTCTACAATTTAAACGCACATATATATGTATACTCACGTAACGCCTTTTATCCTGCATTATACACCTAATATGAGAAACGTTGCATGATGAAAATTTAACAAGAAAACACGGGATATATTTAAAGCAAGTAAATTATAATTCTAATATATAAATTATAATTTACTTGCTTTTAATATTTTCTGTGTTCTCAAGTTAAATTTTCATTACGCAACGTCTCTCATATTAGGTGTATAGACGCAGAACAAAAGGCGTTACGTAAGTATATATATGTAAGTTTAAATTGCATAGAATAATTTATGGAAACGTGGAAACGGTGCTCTAGGCCACTGTAATTTCTGAGATTAAACATACGTACGCCACGTGTATGTGTGTATGTGTATGTGTGTGTATTAAATAACAGTTTTCGTGTTCTCGATTAATCACAAATAATGTAGCCTGCCTGCCTGCCGTTATAAGTCGTTTCGTGGTCAGTCTATCTACCTTCAATACCTTCTATCATAGATAACAAATGGTAACTATAAACTTTCCGTGTAATTGTACGTGAAGCCATTTTGCGTAATGAGATAACGCACCCATTAGATTACATTTTATTATGATGATTAAACGGTTGAGTTTTAATTGCCGCTATCGACTTACCGAATTAACTTGCATTGTGATAACATCACCGGAGTATCACATTATACGTCTATTTTGCTTGGTCATCTAACTATAGATTGGTACGAAACTTTTGCGCCTAATGCGCGATCTCAGGTTACTCGAAGCAATTAATTAGCTTGCATTGTCGCAGGAAATTGTCTTCTGTTCAGATTATCTTAATCTGACGAAATACGCAAGGGTCTTTCCTTTCTCGAGCCATCAAATTTCATGAAACCATTAAACGGATTGCTATGTGAGAAACATTAAATGGAGGTAATTCATTAATTACAAGGATTAATTATATTACATCTTTTCCAAGTACAGCAATGCGTTTTATACATTGCCATCTCTGCGCGCAGTACAACCTACATTTACGTTTCGAAAGTTTAGGGTTTTCCATCTTGATGTGTGTGATTTTTTATGATTATACAAAAACGCCTGTAACTCCATCAATAAAATTCAATCATGCCACACTCGATAAAACAATTTTACAAACGTTTCTCGAACACGGCGTCCTTGTAGATCTGCAGAAACTTGCCGTTGTAATTGAAGGAAAAAGAAAAAAAAAGACAAATGGCAAGAGAAATACTTTCTACGGTACGCAATTACGTCGCAATTTTTTTTCACGGAGCATTCTATTTGTCCCGTCCACCCCCATGATGCCAGTAAATCTCACCGCGTCGCATCACGGTCCGAACGGAATACGTTAAGACAAGTAATTGGACTTGATTACGTATCTTTATATTGACTGCATGTCTTTGAATCCCTATAGGTATGTTTGCGCCACAAGTATTCAATAAATCATCGAGACAGATACCTACGGAGAGATCGCTGAAGAAGCATATAAGTAATCTTTAGACTGTATAAAAGTTGAGCTTTAAACAAAAATTGAACAATAGATTGTTATATAATATGATTACTTCGCAGAAAAATGTTGCCAGCAAAGAACATTTCCCAATGAATGGTGACTTACGCTAAATGACTACTAAATAAATATTAGCAATAAGACACAAAAATGTTAAAACATGAACATTTTAGTTCATTCAAAAAATTTCAACTCCAAAAATAAAACACATAGAAAACATTTTTATGTGAATAATTTATTGCATCAATATCAAAAGTTAGTTATACATGATTTTTTTTAAATTCACACTGTTTTTTATCCATCTATTTTGAAACTACTATATCACGACAAAATTCATTACCTTTCTGCGAGAACAGAACAACGAAAGAGCATTATTCAATTTTTATCTCGAGTCGCTGCCAACTATGCGACCATAACTGTTTTTGCGACGCAAAACTCGCCGTCAGAAGCAGAAGAGCACTATCATTATCAAATAATGGCGTCGTCAAAGGGAAAAGCAAGAGACCGAAGACCCGCGAAGAAGCGAGTAACACGACGAATATCACATCCCGACACTCGTTCCCGAGTTAAACCGGCACGCCGTAAACGCGCGAGTACTCCATATCGACGGCAGCCATGCAATACCATTAGTATACCTCAATTGGTCTACGAACTCCTCACCATTGATAAATATAATCAAGGTATAATACGATTGAGACATAATTACATGATTAACATCAATGAGCTGTAGTAGATCCAAGCATAAAATTAAATTATTTTGACATACTCTTAAGCATCGCACAACTTGAACAATGAATCGCACGCTCTCAGCTTAGAATCTAAAACCAAGTATATCCTAGGTATAACATCTAACACTGAATTTTATTTTAATTGTACATATTCTGTATATAATTATAATCGATATTCGATAAAACATTGTCATTATCAGTTAAAAATAACCTAAAGATACCGATTTGTAATCTATAACATCGTTGCTACATGATATATGTTTGTTGTCGCAGAAAAGAAACGCTTTCCGTCTCCGGAACGCGTCGAGACACGCTCGAAGCGTCAGAGAATGCAGAATTCTCACGAGCAGCAAAGGCTCTCGTACGAAGCGGTCGATCATCGCGATGATTCAGAATCCGTGCATATACCCGAATACACAACAGAGTCTAGACCTACATCCATCGATAGCCTCACGGAAGCAACGGATGCTGCAAATAGCTCGGCGCCGACGAGTTCCGCGAATAGCAGCGTGTCAAATGTTTCAATGGAACCAATCAAGCTGGCAAACTCGCTCAACAACGCCAAAGCACTTTTCAGAAAAAGATCCCTGGTACAGCTCATTAACAGTTACATCAAAGCTGGCATCGAAGAAGGTGCATTATTCAGTGAAATTTTTCAGCCTATATATACATAGTGGTAAAAATAAATGTTGAATAGTAATAGCAGAAAAACTTTGGGTCCTTCCTCTCATAGAAACATAAAAAAACTGCTAACATAATTGTTTTTTACATTAAAAATTTGCATAAATCTCCTTTGGAGAATTTACCAAGATACATAAAATAAAATCATTTCTACCATTGTTTTCCATTTAATTTAAAAAGTTTTTGCACACAGTTTTTAAAACTATTATTTTATGTGAGAAATTTTAAACATCTTTTTCTTCTTTTTTTTCCGATAATTTATAGCGTACAAATAAGTGTAACGATGATTTCTAGAACAGACGCATCAAACGAGCGCGTTTCAAATAGACGGACCCGTTTGGTACGCCTGTGTTACGTGTATCGTATTGTCATTCTATCTTGTTATACGTAAGAGCGCTCTTAATGGCGACGTCAAAGTTCACGAGATGATGACGCAACGAATGACATCCACATTATAGGGAAGCGACACGCCAAGAAGTATATCCGCAAAGCACTATCTTTTGGCGTGAGATCGGGTTACTTGATCCCGGCCGATCCGCAAGGTAATGTGCTTCGTGTGTGCCCGACTCTGGACACACAGTCTTGGAGCTGGAGATCGACCGACACCGAGTCTCGACAAAGACGGCGCAACGCTCGACGAGGGAAGCCGCATTTGACAACTGTCGCCGATCGAAAGGCAATGCGTCGCGGGATACCGCGAGATAAGCCCCTTATTCACAATGCGGACGACAGGCGGACGGCATCGAAAAGGAGATACAGAGCGCAACTCGCTAAAAGTCCTGCCAGAAGTTTGAGCACGCGAGGGAGCACTCCGAAAAAATCGTCTAGTAAATCGTTACGCGAGAAAAACAAATCAAAAGTTGTCACGAGAAAGAACAGGTTAGTTAATTATCGTATTTTAAAAGAAACATTTGTTGCAATTTTTCTGTCTTTCACTATTTTCTCGTAACCATTTGATGTATATAAAATTTGAAAACGGTTTTAAAATTTTCTCATAAAATTACGGTGTCGCAAAATTAGAACAATTTCTTACAAATTCGTTTCTGAAAATACTTTTTTTACCGCTTTTTTCTTATGCTCTTTATATTGAATAGTGGCTTAACAAGCTTAAATGTGTTACAAAAATGGATTTAATGAACTTTAATATAGTACGGACGTTTTAATAAGCTTAAATTCATTATGAATGACTGAGATTTAAACGTGGGAAGCGAGAAGATAAAAAGATGTCACAGTGGTATTAAATTCTCTTTTTCTCATTGTATTCCTGTCTCATTGTGAAGCACAGTGTTTGCGATACTGTTTTACGTAATAAATTTTGCCAGTGCATATTTATTTAATTAAAAAAATACATTTGTTTAAACCGTGTTTGTTTTAGTAAAATTAACAATACGATCAACAATAAACGAGAACAACAACGGAAAAAAGACGACGGCGGAAATATTAAGAAGTCAGTCAAAAGACGACGTACGTCCTTCTCCGCGAAACGTGCGGAGAATGTTCATGAGCCAGTTGAAGAAAGTTGTAAGGACGTTAGCGAAAAAGATCGCGATCAGTACAAAAGCAATGAAAATAATAGAGCTAAGAGACGAAAGTCGACGTCGAGCCAAGAGGACGAAGAGAGAATGGAGAAACGAAATACCGAGGAAAATGTCAACGATGACAGCATAGAAAGTAGGAATTCCAATGATGAAGACAATGACAAAAAGTCTGAAAAAGGGAGTGACGAACATGACATGAACGACAGAGCAACTGGAGAAATGGAACATTAAAGAATGAAACGTGTATCTTGAATGACGTCTTTTTTAGTCTAGAAACGAGAAATTTCTGTCTTTCATACTCTTTATTTTTTCATTTTGTTTGTAAAATATATTTATTACATAAAATTTTGTAAGATCCAATTAAAATTATATTTTTATATCGCAAACATGTGTCGTCATTCTTTCCGTTACTATTTTTTATATAGATTTTTATGTAGATTTTGGAAAAGAAATCTATTCCGCAAACATTTAATTTTGTTAGTCTTTTCCAGGATGCGTTCTTCACGTTTTAATATTAAACTAAATTAATTGATAATGTTCTACTGACACAGTAATATTAGTAATTTAATAAACAAGTAATTATATTTATATAGCTGCTTCTAAATATTGACAGAGATTTTTTAGATTTAATTTTATTTATATTCGAGATGAGAGACAATTTATTGAACGCCTACAACGCTTATTCCGAATTGTTGCTGATTTAATTAAACTTGGTAAAATACTGCTGTGTCATAAACATTTCAAAATTCCTATTTTTGTTTTCCATTCGCTGTCCTATTTCTCTCTATTAGATATATCAAAATAAATCCACTTAGCTTTAAATATAACAGGTTTAACAAAGTTAACCTGTTAACTTTGTTAAACCTGTTACTCGAATTCAACTCACAATTTAAACAAGTAACATTGTATATAAAAGAAAAAATTTTGTTGGCTATTTAAAGCCAAAGAATTATAGTAGCGTTTGATTTCTTGATATATACGAATATCGTATATTACTGTTTATGATTTATTGCAAACTTAATTAGTAATTAATCGATTACTCGAACGATAATTACAAATGACACTTTAAACAAAACAAAAAAAAAGAAAAAGGAAAGACGAGAGATGAAGTAAGCGCCGACGACGTCATTGTTTTTCCTTTTTAATCTCCAACATTTCGGATAATTCTAAGCAAAATTCGTGTCGCGATCAAGTAATTATCCAGAAAATTCAAAAAATTGGATCAGATACATTCAGTAATTAGACAACAAATCTTTCACACTGTTTGAAAACCGAAAGAAATAACAGAATTAATAGTAACCCCAAAATGGCTCGCATAAAGAAGCATCGGAACGCGCAAAATCACCAAGAAATAAGTGAGTAATTATTTCGATGAGTTAAATGAATTTTGTCATGTCGGTTCTTTTGTAATATCTTCACGGTTTTTTCCAATCTAGCAGCAAAAACGCAGATGTTATACAAATTTTAATTTGCGATAGATGTAAAAAGAAAAGTCTTTTCTATATAAATATAATATCTGCTTCTCCTTTATGTATTTATGTATATGTATTATCTAATATTTTAATCTATATGTTTATAAAATCAAATCTATATATCTACGCATAAATTAGTTTATTATAATATTAATACGTTGTTATATATTATTTAATAACATACGGCACTATTGTTAGCTAATTTGTATTTAAGATGCAGTCTTTTAATTTCTGATCAAATCAACATTATAATATTAGTGCCTCAGTTATACATTTTTTTATATTTTAACTATTTCTTGATTATTTAATACTAAAAACCAGAATAAAAAGATTTATGTAAAATAAAAATAAATATATAATTTATTTATTATAATGTAATTAAAGAGCGTCGTCGCAAGCCAAACATTCCCGAGTTGGTCTACAAATATCTTGTTGCGAATGAAGCTTTACCCGATACGGAATGTCGTGTCGTGAACAAATGCTGCTGTGGTCAAGAGAATCATGACGAAGTCATGGATTCTTCGCGAACCAACGACAAGGGCATGGGATACAGAGTAAGGCAAGGACAGCGCAAAAATAGTGGCAGGGTTTCGAAATTGCACAACGTCAAGCGACGTCCTATCTCTAAGGATCTGCCGATCTCACATTTGCAAAAATGCGTGGATGGCGAAGGTACAACATTTAATTAAAAAAATAGTTATAAATCGCTATATAATACACAAATTGAATTGCAATGGCAGTAATGATTTAAAGATAGAGAGCACACAACGCTTTTAACTGTTTACTACTTCTATAAATATCATATGATTGACATGTAAATATGCTGTATAAAATTTTAACTTGATTTTAATAATAATGTGATATTTAATACAATTGATATACAAAATATACTTTGTACATACAAAATCTGCTTATCTGAATAATCTACATATAATTCTTAAAGAGAAATATCAGATAATATATATGTATGTGTGTAATGTTTTAAAGCAATTGAAAGGAAAGATAAGACACAATACACAAAAAAGTTTTTATTCAAAAAATAACTTTCTACCTCAAATTTTATAAATATTTTTCAACAGATACAAGAAAGGCAAGAAAGTATATGAAAAAGGCATTGGACTTTGGTGTCGAATCCGGCTACCTTATCCCTTCTGATCCTACGCACAAAATTCTACGCGTATCCTCGGACTTAATGAAAAGCAATTCGCGAAGAAGCAAGAGCATTTGTGATACAGCTCTCTCGAAGAATCGTAATATTCCGACCAGACTCGAGGATCTTCAAGTGCAGGAGCAAAAAAGAAGGCGAAGAAGGAGAGGAAGGCTAGGTCGAAGATCGAGAAGCGGTTCGAGGACGCGCCGTAGAAGCAGAAGGAGGAGGAGCAGAAGGAGCCGATCTCGTAGTAAAGGACGTAGAAGGAAGAGCAGGTAATTGTTATGCATAATCCGCATAATGACATACAATTCGCATTATTCGCAATATAGCGGGATTATCCAAAAGCTCGAGGGCATACAAAAATTGCAATTTAAACAAAAATTGGTGATGATCCAAAAGAAGAGAGGGACAGAACAAGAGATAAACTTAAGACCATTTCTATTCTTTACGTAAATTTATGTAGATGTATGTAGATTTGCTGATATAATGTACATATAGTATAATTTATTATTTCTTTATGTAATTTATTAATTACTTACAGTTTAAATACTAACAGTTTAAAAGAGCAGCTAAATGTAAATAGACGAAAAAGGATGTCTATAATATGATATATCTATCTAGTTTACGTTTCTCCAATAATAAACCCATCGTTTCCTACGATCAATAAAATTATTTTTATCTCTGCATAATTGCTTCTTGTTAGGCGAAATAATTAGACTCTAGCGTCATAATTGCTCAGAGTGTTCGCACTGCGAGCCACAGTGTAGGTCTAGAAACTCGATAAAACGATCAAAGGGATTTCCAGCCCGCAGAATCCCGAAGAGGTTGCCGAGGATAAGGCGGACGATTACGAGATGGATGAGAACGATCCAAAGAGGGATATTCATACGGACGACGTAGAAAGGGAACCAAAGACCGTTCGATCGAGCCGACCTGACGAGGAACAATCCACGAAGAAAGCTGAAGAGAATGGCTCGGATTTATCCGGCGACGAGGATGAAACCGACGATGAGAATGAGGGGAAAAGAACAAACATTACCAAATCGTAGTTTCTCAAAATTGAAGTTTAACTGCAATTTCGAAAATAACAATTTACATTTTACGTCCGATGCTTCAGCAAATGGCAAGGAATTTACTTTGTATAAAATTGTATTATTTATCTACGTTTTGATATTTGTTTACAATCTAACAATCTAACAATTGTATGTATAAAATGTAATGCATGTAGTCATGTAGTTAGTCATATGCAATATACATGCTCCAATAATTCGATGTATATTTACATCAAATAATAAAACAGCTACATCATTCAGTCTTATAAATCATATAAATTGTCATTTGTCGTATCTCGGGATGCATTAGATTTTATTTTAGAATAAGGATCGAGAAGGATGTTGGAACTTTTATAAACTTTTTTTCCTATGTGCTACTCCTTTTCTAAAGTTACCGTCAAGATCCAAACAGCATTTTACAATCCTGCATTTGTACACGAAACCTTGAAGGACTTCTCTTGCACGAATTCAAGACTCCAATTGCAATTCCACAGGAAATTTTCTACAAAGTAGTGAGGTACTTTGCAAAGATACTTTATAACGTGAATATAAAACAAGAATAAGCGGCGGTAAAACATAAAATCTATATCAAAATAAACCCTGGGCGTTATATCAAAATAAAATTCAAAAATCTCGCAAATTATTAAAAGTTTATTTGCGAGATTTTTGAATTTTATTTTGATGTAATTGTCTTCTTTTCATGTGGTTTCATATAAAATTAGAATCAATTGTGCCGATAATTCAAGATAGATGGTTAAGTCTGGAAAAATAGTTCTGGCTTTAGCAAATAGTAAACGGACAAATATCAATCGCGCAATCTTTATATTCTTAACGCTTATTTGTGTTGCAAAGATGGAAGTTTTGCAAGATGTGTATAACGAAGGCGTCAATATAGATAAAACATATCTACACGAAGCTTATCTTTTTCTTTTAAATTAGTCGCTATTTATCAAGTTTCATGTATTATTCATGCCACTACGCAAGATCTCTTTTAACAAGACAAGCTTAAATCAATACAAGTATTTCTTCAAAGTATTTCACGGCTTTTCCTGCCGATATATATTTATCTGAAATTACGGTTGAGTAAAATAGGAATTATTTGTATCCACCTACATCAACGAACAGCTAATAAATATCGTTAAATCCCAATTGCGTTACGTAATTTTGCCCATTTTGTGCACGTCTCGATCGAGAACGCTACGCTGAGAAGCCGACGATATGCTGCAGAACTTTACGTAAGTCCACCTTTCCCAGCTTACGACATCACTCTCGTTGAATTGCACTCAGAAACTCCCACTTAGGGTGTTTCCGGGGGCACTTGCAAGCTGAACAATCGCCATCGTGACCTTGGCTAACTTCTAAGTAGCGAAATATATCACGTAGTGTCTGCCTTCTCTTTTTGCTATTTTCTGTTTGATTTCACTCTTCATAATTACATTTTCAGATACTTATCGTTTCATCTTGTATTTTTACTGACCATTGTCCTCACTCTCTTAATTGAGCAACGCACAAAATTGTAGAAGTCGTTTTAAGCGTCATTTTATAACGTGTATAAAAAAGAAAAACGTAATATAACAAGTTACATTCTGTACATTATCAGATTCTCATTTTTAAAATTGAATTTTACATTAGTTTATTATCTTCTAGCGTGTTCCAAACTGTTGCGCAAACTTTATAAAGTTTGAAATTGAATTTAGACATCTAGATAATAAGCTGTTGTGAACGATAAAAATGCTCACAAACCTGACTTACAATGCAGATGATTTACCTTTGTATGCAATATTACAAACTATCCAAACTACTATTATCCATTAGATACATGAGTACGTTATATCGTATTATAAATAGATGTATATATTTCTCATCGTTTTTACCTTCGACTACACGGTCGCCTTCCAAGTATATAAGTTTCGCAAATCGGATTAAACAGTATTGATATGAAGTTACAACTCTCTTTATAGAAGTAAAATCAATATTTTTTTCCATTGCTCGCAAAAGAGAAATTAAAAGTTCCATTAAAGAGCGTAATTCGATTATATCTGATGTCCGTCTGCGCGCGATCGCATCAACGAATTGCACGTCTCGATCCCTGCGATTTCAAGTGCCGTTAAGAGTCGGGCGACCTTGAACCTAGCCCGTGAACCCCAACCCGAAATTTACGAGCGATCGCGCTCGTTCTTTTCCCCTCGCTTATTTCTCAATTCCCGGCGACTCCGGCGCTCCGCTCCGCGCCGATCCACCCTCCCAGCCGTTGCGTTCACCATCGTCGCGCATATTGTCCCGAGCGTTATGCTCGTTCGTCCTGCTCGCGCTGCCGACGATGCGCTGCGCCGCGCCACGCGCGATGCACACACGAAGGGGCGAAACGGATCGATCGCAGGGCTGCACCGCGTCTCCTCGACGACGAAGGGAACGCAACGCGCGGAACGTTTTCCGCTTTGACACGCCCGGCACCGGCACCGTCGTCTTCGTCGTCGCCGTCGCCGTCGTCCCCGTCGTTGTTTCCTCGTTATTATTCCCCTCGGCGTCGTCGTCAGTTAACCGACGGATAAACGACCGGTCGATTGCGCATCACGTGGGCACAGGATTCACGGCGGCGTCTTCTGGCAAGCTGCTCGCGGGGTGGTTGAACGTCACGGTCTCGACGGCGACGGCGTCGGCGGCGACGGCGGCGTCCCGATGTTGGCAGGCGCGCCCGCACACTCTCCCTCGATCGTCACTGGAGAATGAGAGAAGAGCGACGACGGCTTCAGTCGGCACGCGGCGTCGCGACGCAAACCAACCCGCGTGCATCGCGCCAGATGTGTACACTCGAGTGCTCGTCATTCAGCCCGGAACTTAAACAGTTCAATTTTTCAACTCTGACGAGTCTCGACTGACGAATGATCGAGGGGCGCGCAGAAGCTGGAGGCATTAAATACATCGGAACCGCGGAATCGGCGATCCAATTTTCTCTCGTCGGTAAGTCTCGCTGATATTTATCCGGCTGTCTTTGACTGAAATGATCGATGATCCATGATTATAACATAATAAATATGAGAGAGAAATCCAATGATAGATATTGGCCATTTTTTTCCTTCAAACGAATTGCATTTTTAAGAAACGCCTCTCGCGAGTTTGGAGATGCAACTGGAACATGTTTCTCAATCGAATAATTTGCAATTTTTCGAGAGAAATCATTATACTCAAGTTAACGGAAAATGTGCCAATATATGGTCGGGATCTTTTGTGCCTAATAATATTTTTCCCTTCGCAAACCACATGCCGTTGCCGTTATTGTCGGTCTCGAAACGCAGTCTGAAGCTGAAACTAGAATGGTATAATCACATAATTAAATTGATAATTAATTTAACATTATTGATACTAATGCGCATCTTTAGAACCACTCTGCAAAAGATATGTTATGAAAAATATCACCCCAAGCAGGGTTTGAGTCAGGATCTCCCTATTATCCGGGACGGGAGTCTGTATCAATTTGACGTGGACCGACGGTATATCGGCACATTTTCGGTTTTCTTAATTGTTACCATAATGGTCATGACTCACGTAATATAAAATCATTATATCATTACCGGTTAGAACAAACGGAATATTTCTTTTTGCAAGACGAAACACAGCTCGACGAAGCCATGGGTACGCCCATGCGTGAGGTCAATATAGTACATTCACCAGCACTTGAAAATGCAAAGAGCGCAACGATTAAACGTTGCGGGAATAATTAACACGCCATATACGCGGCTAACACGCATCAAAAAGAATAATTTTGTTACATCGGAAAAGCTTTTGCGTATAATTAAAGATTCGCGCGTCTGCTTCTTTAATTTAAATTCGACCGTCTTCTTTTGCCTGTTAATCCCCATTTCGAACAGGCAAATTGGCACGTTTACAACAAACAAAGACATTATTTTAGTATATTTTATATTTACGTTGTTTCTTCAATAACAGTCCGATTGATGGTTAACATTGTCGTTTAATTTTAAGTTTATTAATTATTTTAATTTTATTGTTAACATAGCCAGCGGTGCTAACTTTCTTTAGTAACCTTTAGATTATATGGTTACATGTAAAATAAAATGTAGGTGCAAACAAAATATTTAATGCACATAAAAAATTGAAAAGAAAACTTATAATCGAAAAAAGTTTGCACAACAGATTTTATTTCGATTAACCCTTCGCAGAACATGTAATTTTGCTGCTTCCATCGAACATGTGGGTCTTTTACGCCAGTTAAGATTTTCAAGCTGTAATAGTGTCATAAAAAATCTGAAAAAATTCAAGTATACTTTCGAAGGCTTTAAGAATCTATTTATACCGTTATATATGCCTGATTTTTGTTTAGGTTTTTTTTATGAGCCGCAAAGTCTCAGAAAAATTCAAAACTGAAATATCGACCGGCTCTTTAAAAACCCACTTGTTCCGCAAAGGGTTAATAAACTCGTTAGCAATCACTTTTCGATGGATAGCGTCTTTCGTTACGCACACTATAAATTAAGATATATGCAACTAAAATCCGTCACATGTTTTTCATAAAATTTGAAATGTTGACAAATTCTTATCTCCATAACCAGAAATTATTTGTGGTTGTTAGACAAACAAAGAAAGGTCCAAATTATTGTGGGGGCGCCGCCTCCACAATAAAATTAATGGGAGGGAGGCCAAAAGGACACTGCCCCCATAAAGTTGGCGCCTATGATTACATGGCAAGGGGAGAGAAATATTCTAATTTTACAGGCATTTCAAAGAAACAATCATATTACTTACAATCATATTACGGTCAAATATAGAATACAGAATAAATAACACGTTACTTTTTTCACTTTTACAAGAAGCATCTTGAAGAAAGACTTTTACTTAGGAGAGCTAAGTTCGATTTTATGCGTGTCATGCCTAGCCCTCTTTTTATCCGTATCTAAGTTATATAGTAATACTTACGCGACCAACTGTTTGCGGATGTTCACGTTCTCGTTTCTTTCAAAGATGCGAGAATCATCCTATTTCGAGAGCTTCGTAGAGAGGAATAGGAGAAAAATACAAGAGGAATACGAGAGGCTCGATTTGTCATAGCAATTATTCTCACATGTATATTACGCGGAGAGCTGACGGCGTCGCTAAAGGAGAGGAATATGTATTACGCATTGTTAATCTAGGCCGTATAAGCCGGCCTCGCCAATTACGCGCTGGCACCATCACCGGTGGCAATAGCATTGAATTTCGTTCAAATTCGACGTGAAGACACGTGACAACATAACGCCTGCCACTCACTCCGCGATAACATACATATTTCTGACACATTCCGGAAAGACGCTCAGCGGGTATAATACTCCCTCGCCGCATGACACATCAAAATTTCCATATACTAATCCATCAAATGTGCCATATTTTTGATAGTAAAAAAATTACAAATAATATCTTCGACTACAAGAGGGCAGAGATAATTGGGTAATTACACGAGTTCTAAAAATGTACTTAATATGTTTTCGTCCACCAATTTTGTCGAAAACATGAATTGTCAAGAAGATGAACACATAATCTTTTTAAGATTGTAATGTATAATTAAAGAGTACAATGCTATGCATAATTTAATCAGGAAATTTTTTCCTACATGCGAAACACGCGATGATGTTTCGTTTCTCGCGTGACAAACGTAATGCATTATTCATTAACTATTTCAACTATTGCATCATTTATACATGTATTAAAGAATAACGAATCAGCAGGTAGGGTAATAAATATCATATTATCGTGTCTCTTCTATATTCCTAAAGGAGATAAAATTTTTTTTTAATTATAAGAAGAGGAAAGGACATATTATATTATCACAAAAAAGAAATTGCCTCTTTAGACGCATCCTCTTTTCTCCGATTAATTAATCAGTCCGGTCGTGTTATGTACGTTATCATTCAAAGACGTCTTATACACCTTTACACGCCTTATATGTGTTATACCCTATATACGTTTTTCTGATGCAATTGCCGTTGCTGCGCGCTGCCTTACCCTTCCACTAAACACAAAGGCGCGTACCACTGTATCTTCCCTCGAAAGAGAAAAATAGAGAGGAGCGAGGAAATAATTTTGCTTCCTAGAAAACGTGCTTAAAGAGAAATATGCCAAAGGAACTTTGAAACCGGTAATTCTAAAAAAAAAAAACAAGCAGTTACTATATTTACGAGTACACATATTCGCCGGTCGTTTGCATATATCGTACGGACGAGTCGCTTTGCAATTTTAAATTCTTATTTAAAGAAGATGCACAAAATTGTAAACACGCCAATTTGTTTACTTGTTTACGTTTTCCATTTCCATGATCTATTTCATCTCATTTTTACAGACCATGTTCTGTTGCTCTAACTTTTAGTCCTTTTTTTTCATCTACCGCGATCGATTATTTCTCGATGCACGTGTATAAGCGCTGCAACGACTCATCATTCACTTCAGATCTGCACTTGCCGATAATTTGCATGTTTTAGATAATTTAGATTATAACTTGAGCATAACTTCTGCATATATTATTTGCAGTGCCAAAAAAATGCACACTGAGAGAAAAATCTATAGGTTTAAATAATCGGACAATCGTTCAAAAATTAACAAACGGGTATAATCCGATAACTTTCAATCGGAATTACAAAAAGCCTATTAAGACCAAAATAATGTCCGATCTATATGATATCCAATTATCAATGATATCTGGATATCATTAATCGGACATTATTTTGGCCTTGATCGACTTTTTATAATTCCGATTGAAAGTTATCGGATTATTCGTTTGTTAATTTTCGAACGATTTATTTCTCTCAGTGCATTAAAATGCGCCAGATATTTCGGTTTCTTTTGGATTTAATATCGTATTGAAATAAAATACCTTATACAAGAGGAAAGAATGCTGCCACTTTAGAAATCCGTATCATTCAAATAATCTGTATATAATTCAAAACTTGAAATCATCTCTGTGTACTTCATACGCTACAACGTTAAATTTCGTTTCTCCAAACAAAAAAATTAAAAAGCTAGAAAGCTTATAGTCTATGAATAGAGAACAGAACAACAAAGTAAAGAGTTAAATAAAATGTGTCGATGATACCGCACGAAACCCTGTCAATCGATTCCCACCCACGGCATCGACGAAAACATGAATGCGCAAAAACGTAATACAGCTAGCGAAAATAGAAATAGAATTATTCTTATCGTTGCGCGTAAAACAAACGACGAGAAAATAATAAAAGGATTAACGCGTATACACATTGATATTTTTGTATTCGTATATATGTGCGTGTATTAATCAATACGGAAGAATCAACGTATCGTATGATACATATTTGCTTTGCGGCATCGCTTTGTTAATCTCATCTTTTCACGTCGAAGCTATTATATATATCTCAGTCCATTTCGATAATTGTTGACATTTGATAATATGAACTATTAGCGGAACTCGCTAACAGCTCACGTTAGGTATACGTGTAATACAACAGCGATAGATGTTCCAAGAGAGAAAGTGCAGTGTGTCTCCTCTACTTTAATCTCTCAGGGTATATAAATCTTCGAATTGACAGACGATATCCAACCTCACCCCCAAGGCTGCGATCTCTGATTTCCAAGCTTTTAAAGAGACGACAGAACGTTCCGCACGCGATACAATTCTCCTCGAGTTTTCAGGTTTTCTTTTTACAAAGCGCCCAAGTGCCATTAGGAGAGTTAAACGAAATTTTATTCTCCAGAGTAATTCCTGATATAATTACGTTTGAAAATTGAGAAGGTGGAAGTACGGTAAATGCTTTCGAAAGTCGGTAGTAATGAATCTGCAGAACACGCTTTTGTGCGTTAAAAATTGTCTTCCGCGGTAATGCAAAATTGAAATTTCATCCTACATTCGGAAATTTGTTCACACAATTGCAAAAAACGTTATGCCGCGCGTTTATCCACAATGTAATTCAAATTTTAATCAGAGGCACAACAAGTTTCAAGTT